TTTTACGTTCATTGAACAATGGAGTTTCACTACATATCGATCACATTAGCAGCAGGTAGCAGAGAATGTGGACCGCTCCATATCGCGTTTAATAGATACACTTGATTGGGTAGCAGGCAGGGGTAGCCCAGCATAATCCGCCAATCCGTGCTCTCGAGAACGCCGAGCGACGATCGCGATTGGGTCGTCAAGTCCATGTGGTGTGGACACAAGGCATGCTCTCCCCCACCACACACATGGCTGAACAAATCACTCCCTGCTGGCTGGCCTTCTTTCAGCATTTGCTTTTATTACGTGAGCATTTCTAGCAACCTCCCACTCACCGACCAGGGATTTCATCCGACACGTAAGGATGACATATCCAGGAACCACACTTGACTTACCTCGCTATATCCTGAAATCCGGCGAGTGGGATTGGAGTTTTGCTTGCTGTCGAGAACCACTGCTCGCTTGCGTGGTCGCTCTGCAAAGGTTTCCGAGTTCCGGCAACCAGGCTTATCCATGCCGTAAGAATTAACCATTCTTAGGCGAGTAATCGAAATACTATTGGTGTTCTAAGCATGGTTTTTCTTTGCGAAGCAGGTCAGGACACATGAAAGAGCCTCAGAATGGTCGAGATTCTTTACCGACAGAAAGCACCCCTCTGTTACCATCGAAGGCACAAGATATTCCGTGTCAAGGTTCCTCTGACCAGAATGGAGAGTCGGAAGGAATGTCTCATGGACATCCAGGAAGCACCTTGGGATCTGCCGTATTCAACCTATCCAATACCATAATCGGTGCTGGGATAATGGGACTTCCAGCCACTATAAAGGTCCTAGTCTAATTTTGTCGATTTTTGGATGAGGCAACACAACGAATTTCCGGCTAACTTAGTGAAACCTGTATGCGGCAGGTCCTGGGGATTCCTCTTGGCCTAACAGTGCTCGTCATAATGGGAGCAATGAACGAGTACTCTCTTCAGCGGCTTCTCAGAAGCACAGCAGCAGCTAAAGCATGGTCCTTCGGCGATCTCATGGCTGCTACGCATGGAAGAGTGGGAAGGATGTTGCTCCGAACGAGCATCTTTATCAACAACACGGGCATCCTCCTTATATACCTTGTCATCATAGGTCGGTCAATAAGAAAAACCCATCAGCTTCACGACGCATGGTTCACATGTTCAGTTTTAGAACTGCACGAGCATAATCTATGTCCTGATGACTTATGCATTTCCATTCTTGTTTAATGTCTTCCCGTCCTTTGTCAGGCGATGTGCTGTCCGGTTCAGACGGTGCGGATGGAGAGCACTACTCTGGGCTATTCGAGGAGTGGGCCGGAGGTCCCACCTGGTGGAACAGCCGCCTGACAGTGCTCGCTGCCTCCATTGTCGCTGTTATCGGGCCTCTTGCCGCTCTTCCAGACATAGGTTTGTTCAGTTTGACCCATCCAAGCGACATCTGGTTTGGTTTGTTCGGGCCTCTTTTGCCCCTTTTCTGTTCATGCATCTTATACAAATACCTGGATTGTTCTGCAGATTCCCTCTGGTTCACATCAGGGCTGTCAGTCCTGCTGGCAGTTGTTTTTGTCGTCGTCACAATCCTCATTACTCTGTACAAGCTAGTCGAAGGGACCATTGATTGGTCTGGAGTGCACTGGCTTCCTCAGCTGAAGACGTCACAGGAGTACTGGCACCTCCTCTCTGTCATCCCCACCATGGCAACAGCCTTCACTTGCCACTACAACAGTAAGAAAACGGCTGCGAGGCCATAATTCACTTTCTCTGTTACACATTTCCGATTGATTAATTTCAACAGCTCTTTCATGCCTGTGCAGTGCATCCTATTTTGGTGGAGCTAAAGCCACCTCGAGAAGAAAAAATGCACACTGCGATACAGAAGACTTTCGTTATTTGCACGAGTGTATATGCGGTCACAGCTCTCTTTGGTTACCTCCTTTTTGGTGAAGCGACTTATGCTGACGTTCTTGCAAATTTCGACACCGACCTTGGGATTCCTGGAAGCTGCTACTTGAATGACATTGTCCGGCTTTTCTATGCCCTGCACTTGATGCTGGTTTTTCCTGTGATTCACTTCTCACTTAGGTCTACTGTAGGATCGGTGCTGTTTCCGCATTCAGCCCCCCTAAAGCATGATCCTTGTGGGTATATATTCACAACGGTTTTGCTGCTTGGGGCCATTCTTGCAGCTTCGCTCTATGTCCCGGGAATTCAATCGGCCTTCGAGCTAGCAGGGTCAACAGGAGCAGCCATCATTGCCTTCTGCTTCCCTGGAATGGTAGCACTAAGGTAGGTCTTGGTTCACGCATGTCCATGCTGCTCATTGCACTCTGAAGTGCTCTCCATGCTGATGCAATGGTTCGCTTTGTCCTGCAGTGAGAGAGCTGGGGGTTTGGCGGCATCTGCTACTCAAAGGGCTGCTGCCTGGTTCTTGCTTCTCCTAGGACTTGGTGTGTGTTTTACAGGTCTTGCTGACAGTGTCCATTCATTTCTACGAAAATAGAAGACACACCATTACAGTAACGCCTCCTACCCTGTCCTCATACAAATGGCGATTTGCTGGTTTCCGACTCTTTTGTCAGGCATATTACACTTATTCCGCAAGTTGACGAGTCTGAGAGCAGGTCCACACTGAACCTCGCATCACCCAAGCCCTCTCCTGCAGGAGAAGCTGATGCAGTTGGATACGAGGCTGTGCTTGCCTGCAGATGACCAATTGCAGCAAGCAGGACCCCTGGTGGCTTGGCACTGGCCAGCAGCCAAACACCACGTGGTTTTAGCGATCTGTGCACTGACCTGGGGGATACCAGAAAGGAATGGGCCAGCAAGTAGAAGTGTTACTAATCAATGAGTTGAGGACGATGGCAGGATGTTGCAGTGGACCAAAGAAGCTGAAGCGCACAAACAGACATGCATCCAACTCAGATACAAACCTGGAGAGTGATGCCACACCGTCAAATCTCTCAGCTTCTGTCCAAAGCACAACCCGAGGAGACACGCCCGCACGTCTTTCTGCTGATGCCAGCTCTACAAGCCCAAATTGGAGAGGTTGCAGCTTCGAGTCCTGACAAGGAAAAAGGCAAGTGCAATGCAACGAACGAACTCCAAGCTTGACTGTATACGGGCCAAAGCAGGGAATGGCTGAGACAGAGTGGGTGCTACAAGAAAGAAAGAAAAAACAGAGAAACTGGAGTGCATTTCGTTTCTGCCTCTTCTGATGCCCTTTCCATTTCATCCCCAGCTCACCTTTGACGATGGCTGGCACAGCAGAGCATCCACTGTTCCCTTATCCACCATCACATCCACCACCCCTGTCACCAACAGTGAGAAAACAAGGGGCCAATCAGACGTCGATGCACTTTTTTCAAAATGGCAGCCCCTGACCGGCAGCAAAGCCCTCACTAAAAGAAGCATTCTATACCCCGGAATGGCAAGCACCGCGCATCAGCAACCAAGCGGTCAACTGGATGGGCGGCAAACCGGGGATGAGAGGCATGGAGTTGAGACATGGATGCCATCACCCCAGCGTCTACGTCCGTGCTGATGACGGCCAGTCCCCTCTCTGCCATGCGCATGCTCCACTCCGAATTGCCGCTGCCTATCTCCACCACCACCAGTGGTGCCACCGCTGCTGCCCCTGCCGCTGTCGCTGCGTTGGCAGCTCCAGATGCTGTCGCTTCTGCTGATGCTACCGCCGATACTGCTGCTGATATTGCTGATGCCGAAGCTGCCGAAGATGCCTCGGTCATTTGTACGTGACTTCCCTCGTGGCAAGATTTATCCAGCTCTCCTGATCCCCTCTCTCTCCTCTCCTCTATCGAACAGAGGGGAGCCATGTGCGAGCGCCAGAAGGAGTCAAAGTCAACGTTGTACCTGGTTGGTGCAAGAGGTTGACGAATTGGAGGTTGTGCTTGAAACGCGGATCGGAAAATGGACTTCAGGAAAGGTATGTACGGCTAGTCAGGGATAATATGCTTCACGACGCAAGGCACGGACGGTTTGGATGGGTAGGCCAGACAGTGGTCATGAAGGTACGACTTACCAGTCATAGAGGATGGTTTGCTCTCCCGCGTATCGCGTGCGCCAGTAGCGAGGTTGAGAGTATTCGGTGTTACGGGAAGGACTGCGAGGAGAAGGGGCGAGAGACGAGTTTTTAACTCAAGAGAGGGTTTTGCGGACGCATTAGGAGCGTCTGAAAAGAGACGTGGGGGAAGGGACAGAATGCCTGGTGAATGAAGAGAAAGAGCGAGAAGCCTTGTAACAAGGTACGTACATTCGACGGGTTATAACGTCCGATTCAGTGTCAAAAAGCCCTTCAAGCACCCCCCCATTGTCGTCGAGTGCAGATGTCTCTCCAAAGTCTCCCATTGCGTGCAGCCGCAACCTATCTCTGGGTGAATTTCCGCAACCATGCACCAACTACGAACTAAGAAATGATAGGCAGGGAGGGAGCCAGCGGCTATGTGTTGTTGCTCTGAGCGTGGCGGCAGGAGTTTGTACTCGATATGGGGATAATTGGGCAAATCTCTGCAATGATACAGGCTTATTTTGCTTCTAATGTACCCCCGAACCACTTTCATTTCGGGTCTTCGCTTGGCTTTCCCGAGGTTGCCGTGCGACGTGGCAGGTTTGTGTGGTCCCCATTCGCACAACCCAAATCCATCACTTCCAAAGCCAGGCAATGCACTCTCCTCCCCCCTCGCACGCGACTGTCCAAACTTCTTGGACCCATTCGCAAACCATCTCAAACGGCTCGGCGATTGTCGTAAAACCTCCAGCATATCCAGTAACCATCTCGACAGCAGCGAGGCCTTCGTCAGTGCTTATTATTGTCTCCCTCGAGGTACAATCGAACTGTAGCCTGTCGCCAGAATTCGCGAAGACGAACCTCTCTCGCCACCACAGGCCCGGAAACTTACCAGTGCTGCTTTTCCCTCCATCTCTTCTCACTCTGTTCTGTTCCCTTGTCTCTGATCTTTCAGCTCTCATACAGAATCCTGCCTTCACGGCTTCTTTTGCGGCTGGCCGGAGCTTGGCCGTCGTTGGTCACTTCGCTGGTGAATGATCACCATCCAGTATATTTTTCCACGTTAGTGGCTGGAGAAAGCTCGGCTAGGAGGCGGTTTCGGATCGCATTCCTTATTTGAATGTTCGGGTATCTTCGCTTCCAGTTCTGTAGGGTAGCTCATGCGTTGCGGGTCCTTGTGTGGTTGCAGAGCTGGTTCGAGAGCCCCTTTGTCATACGAGGGCTGAGTAAATCCTATAGATAACACGCCGTCGTTCTTCCCGCCTCTGTTCTCGATTCATCCGAATCTGAGAGCTGAAAGCTTTGTCTGCTTGATCGGCACCGTCCTTATTCTTGTCCTCAGCGTCCTCATCCCGTTACTCGGCTGGTTCAACATTTGCGAAGCCGATTAACACCATGGTTGACGACAACGGAGTATCTTCGTACGGAGCTATGTCCAACGGAATCTCTTCTCCGGAAGGATCTCCAAGCTCAGACCGCGGAGCCTCATCGGATTCCGTTGTCAGATGGCCAATGGCAGAAGCCCGCGTGGCTGAGCTGATCGCGCGGATTCAACCCACAACCAGAGCAGAGGAAAGACGCCTGGCCGTTTCAGAATACGTCACGAGGCTTATCTCGCGGTGCTTCGATTGCCAGGTAGCTTATTACATACTCTAAGCTCGTTAGGGTTTTCGAAACCCGGTATTTTTCGGCTCTAACCCGGTACGTTTCCCCTTGTAGGTGTTTATGTTCGGATCAGTGCCGCTGAAGACGTACCTCCCCGACGGGGATATTGACTTAACCGCGTTCTCCCGGGGTCTGGCCGTGAACGACGCCTGGGTTCACGACGTTCAAGCGATCCTGAAACGCGAGGAGCGGAACGCAGACGCTCTTTTTCAAGTGAAAGAAGTTCAGTACATTCACGCCGAGGTATTTATTTACCCCCGCATTTCCAGCTGACGCACTTGCCGACTCCAATCCGCTTACACAGTTTTAGAACCGACACGAATGCTTTCTCCTTGCCTTCCCCCCCCTCCAAGAAGCCTGTTTTTCGTCCTCTTCTCGATTCCGCAGGTGAAGCTGATCAAGTGTCTGGTGCAGAACATCGTTGTTGACATCTCCTTCAACCAGCTCGGAGGCCTCTGCGCGCTTGGCTTCCTCGAAGAGGTGTAGAAACCGACCGTTCCCGCGCTGATGGATTTGTTTCGCTGGCAATCAAGTGTGATTGCCTGGCAGCCGTGATACATTTTCTTGGGACTGCTGCATATTTCCTTGTCTGATGTCGTGCCGGTTCAGGTGGATGCTTTGATCGGGCGGAATCACATCTTCAAGCGGAGCATAATTCTGGTGAAGGCGTGGTGCTACTACGAGAGCCGCATTCTAGGGGCGCACCACGGGCTCATCTCCACATATGGCCTGGAGACCCTTGTTCTGTACATCTTTCATGTGTTTCATAAGGAACTGCCCAGTCCCTTGCATGTGAGTGCCCTATGAGGCTATGCTGTGGATACCCTGTCTGTCTCCACTTTAGTCTTTCCCCGTTTCTGTTCTTTCGTGTGGGTTTCCTCGATCTTTCTGCTCGCGTTGTGACATTCCCTTCCCTTCCCGTGTCGTTCTGCCTGTCTTTCATCTGCAACCAAGCCCCGTCACCTAACAGGAATGCCTCGTGCGAGCTGTTTGCTTTTGTGGCAGGTGCTTGTGAAGTTTCTCGAGGTGTTCAGCAAGTTTGACTGGGAACAGTTTTGCCTCAGCCTCAAAGGCCCCGTTCCTCTCTCCTCTCTTCCTACCATGCTTGGTGCGTTTCTCTCTCCTCTCTTCCCACCATGCTTGGTGCGTTTCTCCTCTCCATTCTCCCTTCTCCCCTCCCCTGCTCATTTCTCGTCATCAACTGCAATTGCTGCACACTTTGCCTCGAAATCCGAAATCACTGCAGTAATCATACGTGTCGTTGTCCATTCCCATCCGTTAGTAATGGTCCCGAGGAGCCTTATGCCGATTCTACCCATCTGTTTTTGTTTCTGTGCAGCTGAGAGGCCTGATGGAGTGGAGTAGGACGTGCTCCTCACAGACAAGTTTTGAGGCGACAAAAAATCAACGAAATTCAACAATTTCTATTTGTTCTTTCTTTGTGCAGCTGAGAAGCCTGGTGGAGTGGACGACCTGCTCCTCACAGACGAGTTATGAGGCAACAAAAAATCAACAAATTCTATTTGTTCTTTATTTGTGCAGCTGAGAGGCCTGGTGGAGTGGACGACCTGCTCCTCACAGACGAGTTTCTGGCAGCATGCTACGCCAAGTACTCGCTCTCTCCCATGGTCCAGGCGGGTCAAAGCCGTCCCTTCATGGTTAAGTTCCTCAACATTATTGACCCTCTTCTGGACAACAATAACCTCGGCCGGAGCGTCAGCAAAGGTACGCCTATGTCTCCCTCATACATACTTCACTAGCTCGCTTTTTTCTATAACTTGTTGATGCATGCACGCGTCTCTCAGTTTTTCTTCCATCCACTCCAGTAGCAGTTTTCACAATGCTTGCTCTATACCCGTCTTAATCCCGCGTTCCGCCTCATCCTGCCAGCTAATATCTGGATCCGAAGTGCCCTTGCATACGGATCTCGCAAGCTGACGACAGCACTGGGCGGCCCACAGGACGTGGTGGCCCAGGGTCTGCTTTGAGTCGACTCAAAAGCCACCTAGTCGACTCAAAGGTCTGCTTTGAGTCGACTCAAAAGCCACCTGGTCGACTCAAAAGCAGACTCAGGAGCTGACCTGGGCCGCTTCAATCTGTCCTTGTCCCGTCCTTGCACCCCCCCTTGTCCCTCCAGCTAACTTCTTCCGGATACGGAGTGCCCTGGCGTACGGATCTCGCAAGCTGAACGCAGCACTGGGCGGCCCGGAGGACGTGGTGGCGCAGGGGCTGGACTGGTTCTTCCGCAACACGTGGGACCGCAACGCCTCTGGCGCCCGCCCCGACGGCTCAAACCTCGAATTCCTCATGCAGCACATGCCCCGCCACCTGCCCCTCTTCCCCCATGCCATGCCGCCCATGCAAGCGGGAGGAGTGGCCCCAGCAGCTGCAGCCGCGGCAGCAGCAGGGCCGGGAGCAGGAGTAGGAGCGGGCACAGGCACAGGTGGCTATGCAGGCAGGCCGGCTATGGGTGTGGGTGGGGGTTTTCGGGGGCAGGTGAACGCAGCAGTGGGTCATGAGAATAAGCATCCGGGGGAGGTGGACATGATGCGGGCGCCGTACTCCCACGGGGGGCAGCACGGCGTGGTGATGAATGGAAATATGACCGGCAACGTAGCTGGGAACATGGCTGGGAACATGGCTGCAAATAGTGCAGGGAGCATGGCTGGAAGCATGGGGAGGCGGCAACAGGTGCAGGCGCCAGATGGGCCCCACCGGGTGCCATATGGTGGAGGTCACACGTGGATCCCTGCTCCTCTGTTCCCTGTGCCTGCCAATGTTGCTCATGTTCCCAGTGCGAGGGCTTCTCCTCCCATGGCTGGTGGTCCGAGGCTAGCTCAGCAGCAGCAGCAGCAGCACGAACAATCGCAGCAGCAACACCAACAGCAGCAGCAGCATCAACTGTTGCAGCAGCAACAGCAACAGCAACAGCAACAGCAACAGCAACAGCAACAGCAACAGCAACAGCAACAGCAGCAGCAGCACCAACAGACGCAGCAGCAACAACAGCAGCAACGGCAGTACCTGCACCAGCAGCAGTCACAGCAGCAGCAGGCGCAACAACAGCAGCCACATCAACAGCAGCAACAGCCGCAGCCACAGCAGCAACAGCAGCAGCCACAGCAACAGCAGCAACAGCCGCAGCCACAGCAGCAACAGCAGCAACAGCAGCAGCCACAGCAGGCACAAGTGCATCCGAAGAGAGCGGCGGAAGTAGTGAATGGGGGTTATGCTGTCCCACCGGTGCGACCCACTCCAGACCTGGCAGCGCCTCCTCACAGGGTAGCGCGGGCGGTTGATCAGGTGACACAGGCAGGCACAAACGAAGGCACTGAGAGACCGTCTGAGGGTAGTTTATCCTTGGCACATCCCTCTCGTCCCATGGAGAATAGGGCATCCGCGCAGCAAGACGTGGCAGCGTCTGCGGTTGACGCAAAATCGAGGGAGGAGCAGCGAAGCGGCAGCTCTGTGCCAGGGAGTGAAAGAAACGAAAGGAGTGAACGGAATGAGAGGAATGAAAGGATTGGTAGGAGTGAAAGCCAGGCCACACAGGCAGGGTTGGATGGAGCAGCGACTGTGGGGCCCGCTGTTAGCTCGGGGAAAGGCGAGGGGAAGGTGGCTGTGAGACAGCAGGATTCAAAAGGCCAACACGAAGAAGCTTCCTCTCGCACTGCCAAGGCAGCGTCGAGAGGTGCAAGGAGCGGCGGCAGCGGCAGCGGCGGCGCGGCATCGAGTGCCCAGTGGAAAAAGTCCAACACGGGCTCTAGAGGGGTTGTGGCTGCCAACACCCCTGCTGTGAGCAGCCTCGTTGTTACCAGCCCCGTTATTAGCAGCGGTGGGTTGAGTCCAGCGGGCGAAGCAGCGCCTGCACGGCAGTTGTCAGGCGGGCTCGACACTTCGGCAGTGCCTGCTGGTGGTGGTGGCATTCCGCGGCAGAGCTCAGAGCTGATCAGTGCGGGGTATCAGAGCGCGGGGTATCACAGCCGCAGCAGCAGCATGCACAGCACTGGGTCTTCGAGCTCTGTGGATCCCCTGAGCCAGGAAGCAAGCACGCTGGATGGTAGAGCACCGGCGAATCCCAACACTCCTATCAGCCAAGCGCCTGCAGCAGCGGCGACAGCAGCAGCAGCAGGGGTAGGGGCAGTGGGTGCAGGGCATACAGGTCTCCCCTCTCGCAGTATCTCTGATCGGGTGTCTGACAGGAGCAAGAGCTGGCATGAAACCCGGCATGCAGCCCAGCTTGAAACGCGGGCCGAGAGCCCTTCCAGTTTGCGGGCAGCTAGGTCTGAAAGCGTTGCTGTTCCCCATGTGCCTGCCATCGTCCCTCGCACAGCCTCAACCTCCCCTGTCATATCCAGCGCCAGCTCTCCCAGTTCTGACAGCATCCTCAACACCATAGACGCCCTTCCACAACCCGCTCGTGTTTCTGCTTCGGCCGGGCCTCCAGCCGGGCCTCCATCCGGGCTTCCAGCCGGACCTCCCACTGCGCCCCCTCCTCTCCCCCATATCAATCCGTTTCCCTTTCCCCCAGGTCTCCTCATTATGGCGTCTACCCCCAACGGCCCCTGTCTCGTCCCCCTCTCCGCATTCCCAGGGGCGCTTCACCCGCGCCTGCTGCAGATGCCGGTGCAGCAGCTTCAGGGCTTTGGCTCCCAGCCGTCCGATGACAACATGGCGCAGCAGCAGCTGCCACAGCAGATGCAGCAGCAGATACAGCAGCAGATGCAGCAGCAAATGCAGCAGCAGATGCAGCAGTACTTGCAGCAGCAGCTGCAGCAGAGAAGAGAAGGAGAGGGCAAGGCACCTGGACCTGGTTCAGGCCCCAACCCGCCCCACCTCATGCCAGCATCCCAAATCCGTCTCCCCGTCCCGACCTCGGATGGTGCCTCTGCCACACCTCTGCCTCCAGCCCCGCAGCTCTTCCCCTACATGGCTCTTCCCATGCCCCTGCCATCTGGAGCAGGTTTTCCACAGGCGCCTGGCCTTGTGGCCGTGCGACCTGGGACGCCAGACGGGGAAGGGCAGTACAGGGGGGTGCCGTTTGGTGCAGGTGAGGTTATTACTGGCGTGGATGGCCCTGGGCTTTCAGACGCAGCGGGAGCAGCAGGAGCAGGTGGTGGTGGTGATGGTGGTACTGGTGGGGCCTCTGGTGCTGCGCCTGTTGCTGTGGCGCCTCCTGTGTTTTGGCAGCGGATGGACCAGCTACAGCAGGCGCCAGGCTTGAAGCCACCGGAACCAAGGCAAGGGCCGGGAGAGCAGATCGGATCAGCAGCAGGAGCAGCAGGAGTAGGAGCAGGAGGAGCAGCAGCAGACGGGGTGCAGGCCCAAGTACCTGAAGGCATCAAGTCGGCCACCACACCCCCTCCGGGGCATGTTCCCTTCATTCCTCTCATTCGACCAGCGTCCGGCCAAGCCCCGCCATTCGCCCAGATCCCTGGCATGGCCCCGTTCCTCCCTCAGATCCCCATCCGTGCTCTCCACCTCGCCCCCCCCTGGATGTTCTCACCCCCTGGGCTTGCAGGCATGCAAGGCCAGGGTGGTGGCGTGGCAGCAGGTGATTGGTCGGAAGGATTCGCAAGAGTGGGGTCTCCTATGGCTCTGAGCGATCCTGGAGTGTCTGGGCCAGCTGCGAAGGCTGTGGATGGGGAGGTTAGGGATAGAGGTAGCAGCGCTGCAGATGACTTAGGGAAAGCAGGGGTAAGTGGGCTGGATCACAGGGTAGGAGCAGTGGCGCCTGTGGTCCATGTGGGAGACGGGAAGGCAGGTGCTGGTTCGAGCAGCAGCAGTGGTGGCGACGCCAGTGGATGGAGTGGTGGTGGGGTTACCGGGCCACCGTTGACCACAGTGACCCCGTTGACCCCGTTGACTTCCACTGGATCCCCTTTGGTGGGCACCTTAGCTGTGCCCCTGGCCAGGGAACCCCCAGAGGTGAGCTCTCAAGGGGACTCTCACAGATTCAGCAGCTATACTGCAGGAGCAGCTGCCGCACCCCCTGATGCCGTGCACCGCCAGCGCATTGCCACCGATTCCTCAGCTGCACCCGCCCCAAATAGGCCCTCCCCAGGTGCACCTACCCTGAATAGGCCCTCCCCAGGCGCGCCTGGTCAGAATAGACCCTCCCCAGGTGCTCCCGCCTCTGCCACTTCGATGCTCCACCCAGGTGCAGCCATCCCCTCGCCCACGTTTGGCCCCGCCAATCCCAGCGCTGATCCCTCAAAGCAGCAGCCGTTTGCCCCCGCTGCCTTCCCCACTGGGGTTCCAGGGGGCGCTGCTGCTAGCCCAGGGGGTGTGTTTCCCCTGCACCCCTTCTCCCGCCCGCTTGGCCCCCAGGCTGTGCTCCTGTCTCAGCTAGGGGCCCATCCAGGCCTCTTCCCCTCCTACGTCCTGGCTAATGCTCCCGCCACAGCGCCAGGCACAGGAGCCCCAGGCGTATCCCCAAACCCTGGAGCCACGGGGGGCCCTGCGGCTGCTGCTGCTGCTGCTGCGGTTGCTCTATCGGCCTCCCCTTCGCCTGGCGTGCCCGCACAGGCTGCAGGGAAGGCTGCTGCAGGAGGCAGTGAGGGAAGCAAGGCGATGCAGGTGCTGCCCAACCCGCAGCTGCTGCAGCCAGGGATGTTTGCTCCCGGGGGGCTCCCAGGGGGGTTACCGGGGGGGCTACCTGGGGGGTTACCAGGGGGGCTCCCAGGGGGGCCGTATTCCTTCATGCTTATGTATGCGCCCCAGCATGGCATGTTTCCGGGCAGCGGTGTGTCAGCAGCAGGGGCGGCGGGAGCAGGGGGTGGGGTAGGAGGGACAGGAGGAGCAGGGGTGGTGGGTGGGGTGGGAGCAGCGGTAGGAGGAGGGATGGGAGGAGGGGTGGGAGGTGGAGATGGAGGAGAGGGAGGAGAGGGAGGAGGGGTGGGATTGAAGGAGGAGATGGCGTCTGCATTGCCTGCCACTACCACTGCTGCCTCTGGCGCCTCTGCTGCTGCTGCCGCCGCCGCCGCTACTACTGCCACAGCTGCTGTTTCTGGTGCTGGGAATGGTGTGAAGGGCGGGGCGATGGACAAGTCAAGGGTGCTGCAAGCTCTGGCGGATGGCAGTGGGGCTGGGGAGTTCCGCATGCTCAGAGTTGCCAGTGCCGGCAGCATTGACACGTCCAAGCGAGCAGCAAGCACCAGCAGCAGCAGCAGCCTTGTCACGAGCAGCGGTAGCAGCGGCATCACGAGTGGTGGGACAGCAGTGTTCTCTGATGGAGGCCACCCTAGAAGTAAACTAGGAAGCTCCCAGATCGTTTCTGCAGCCTCAGACTTGGCTGCTCTGTCTGAACCTGCTGCGATGGTGCGGTCAGAATCGGCCAAAGCAGTGAGGCCGACACCTGCTGGACTCTGCGCGTCTAGCCAAAGCGTTTCCGCCTCTTTTATTCCCGCCTCGGCTGTGCAAGCATCAACCGCACCAGCCTTGGACGTGGATGGCGGAAGAGACCCTGTGGCGTCTGTCAAGGCTCCCTCCTTCTCTTCATCCTCTTCATCTATGCGCGCACGAGCAAACCCGGTTGCCGCAAGGGACGCCTCATCTTCCACACCTGGTGCTCCACGCGTGGTGCGTGGGAGGGGCGGCAGTGGAGGGGGGAGTGAGGGAGTGTTGGCAGAATCGCGCAGGGGTGGCAGTGGTGGGGGGAGTGAAGGCTTGCCAGCCGAGTCACGGGCTGATGCTGCTGGGGAAACTGCTTCCTGGAGCGGTGCGGACGGGATGCATAGGAGTGCAGCGGAGGGGTCCCAACGGGGCCATGGGTTGAATGTGAGAGGAGAGGGGCGGCAGTCAGTTGGGGGGAAGCAGCAGCGAGGGAGTGCGAGGGGGGAGGAGGTACGAGGTGCCGGAAGTGGAAGAGGGGAAGAGGGGGGTGGGAGAGGGGAGGGGGGTGAGAGAGGGGAGGGGAGCGGGAGCGGGAGAGGGGAAGGGAGTGGAAGAGGAGAGCATTCAGCACTCAAGGGAGCATTGGGAGTGTCCCAACCGCAGCAGGTTCCGGCTCAGGTCAAGCCCAAGCAGAGCCAGCAGAGCCTTGGGTTGAAGTCTTCAGCTCCCCTCACTAGAAAGGCTGGTGCGGTCACAGCAACTTGTGCTGCTCCTGCTGCTGCTGTTGCTACTCCTACTCTTGTTGCTGCTCCCGTTGCAGCTGCTGGAAGTGGTTCTGAGGGTGGTAATCCTAGTGCAGCTGCCGTCAGCCAGCCCTCTCTTCCCACTGTGGTCCCTCCTGTGATGCCATTCGGTGCAGTCCTCATGTCGCAGCAGAGTGCCGAGCCTGTGGAGCTGGACCGGCGAGTGCCGGAGCCAGACGACGAGCCCCTAGCGTCGGCGGACACAGTAACCGTCAGCTGGAGGTCGTCCTTGCAGCCGGGGGAAGGGAGGCAGACAACAGGGAAGCGAGGAGCGAGGGTTTCACACCAGCAGTTGCATTTGCTTGGGTCTCAACAGCCAGAATCACCAGCTAGTGAGGCTGGTGGCAGCGGGGCGGTAGGCATTGCGTCTGTAAGCAGCGCGGTCCACAGGGAGGAAGGTACGCCTGACAACGGGCAGGGGTTAGGAAATCCGCACAGCAACAGCCCGCACTCCTTGCAGCAGCAACATCCCAGAACCCCTCGGAGCAACAGCCCAGCAGCTGCAGCAACAACAGCAGCTGCTGCAGCATCTGTTTCAGGACCAGCAGGAGGAGGGGAGGTGGCACCTCGGGAGGGTACAGCTCGCGAGGGCCCACAGCGAGTGCGGAGCCTAGGGGGTGCGTCTCGGTCGGAAGACAGATTCTACAGTGCGCACCGAGGGGGGCTGGGCAACCGCAAGGGCCTAGGCTTGACAGCGGGTGCTGCTGCTGGTAGTGGCGGCGTTTCTGGTGCTGCTGCTGCTGGTGGCTCTGCTGCAGCTGGTGACGGGGGGGCAGATGGAATGGGGGGTTGTGGAGGGTTACCAGTCACTGGTGGGTCCGCTGGCGGGTCAGGTGCCTCAGGTTCTGGGGTACGCTCGGGCGGGGAAAAATCAAGTGGGGGAAGCTCTGGAGGGGAGAGATTGAGTGGGGGAAGCCCTCTGACCAGTGCAGGGGGGAGTGGGGGGCCGAGTAGCACAGGGGTGGCCGGGGAAAGCAGGAGCGGTGCAGGCAAGGGTGCAGCCTCTGCACCATCATCAGCAGCATCAACGGTGCTGCCATCGCTGCCGTCGATCTCTCCCCGGGCGGCTGGGAAGGGGAGTGGGGGGCCAGGGGTGGGCAGAAGCCTGCAGAGGGGAAGCGGGCAAAGCGGAAGTGGAAAGAGCAGAAGCGGACAGAGCGGGGGTGGACAGCGTGAGAGTGGCTCCCCGGTGCTGAATTCCCCTAAAGCGGGCAGACGAACCAGGTGATCCCTCTTCCTCCTTTCTTGGTTCCTCCCCCTTGACATAGGTATCGGGTGTATTTATTATGATGCTTCCAACCTTACCTTCCTTGGCTCTGACTCCGTGTTGTCCAAGTACATGCACCTGGCTGCGTTCCTGTGCAAATCACCATGGTGTAACCCATCACCCCACCCCACTAACTTTGATCCCCGACACGATTTTTGCATCCTCATTGCTCCTTGCATGCGGCAGGGGTGAGGTGAGGATTCTTTTTTTGAGGCGCCTCAAAAGGAGTCCAAGTTTGAGGCGCCTAAAATGGAGTCCAAGTTTGAGGCGCCTAAAAAGTAGACCCGTGTAACCCCCCCCCCCCCCCCACCATCTTGATCCCCGGATCAATTTTTGCGTCCTTGTGCCTTGCATGCTGCAGGGGTGAGGAGGATGCGCTATATGAAATGAAGGACGAGGATTTTCCTCCGTTACACATTTGACTTTTGAGTCGACTCAGAAGTCACCTCGAAGGACGAGGATTTTCCTCCGTTACACATTTCCAAGTGACAACTTAGGAAGTCTCCCATCTCCAGTAAAATCACTTCCTGTGGCGCTTGGCCTCTCTTGGACGTGCGATGGCAAGTGTAACGTTGCTTATTTAGCCACCGATTCCCTTCTTTGTTTCTTGTTTCTTGCTAGATGGTTTAGTCCACGTAACGCCAACAGTAGGCACTTACCCAATCGTGATTTTTTCACCTTTGCTTTGTAACGCTTTACGTTTATAAGAACTGCTCATGCAGAGAGACAGGTACTGCGGGGTACTCCATATGGAGGATGCATCGAGTTACCTGAATCTCGGGAACCTCCCTGCTCAATCTTCACCAAGACGCTCCCTGGTTCAGCAGCTTCTGTCCTGTGGAATCCAACACATAACGGCGATAGTCTGTCAAACCCCATAGTTTTCACCCTCTTCACCGAGGGAGTGACGAATATCGTCGCCAAGCGTGGTGAAGCCGTCGTTAGCATTTCGTTCTACACCATGCGAAACCAGGGCGGAGGGGTGATACAGTACGCCTCGCCGCCTAGTAGCGTCAACGCGCGATTTTCCCAGCCTGTAGTCCTCCTACCGTGCACCACCGGAGGCGGAACCACAAGACGCGTTCCTAGCGAATGCGTAACGGAATGCGTTTCGGCACGACGCGTTCCGTCAGAACGCGTTTCGTCTGGCCGCGTTTCGTCAGGCCACGTTACTACACGATGCGTTAGTACAGGATGCGTTAGTAGGCAATGCGCGAGATCCAGGACCGTCTATCCGCGGCCTCGCTTGCAGAGCCACTACATTGCGCGGCCACGTGTCAGATCCGCCGCGTTTGGCGGTTCTGGTTTATTTATCCCTGCATTTGCGCGGTCTGGTTCTACTACAGCCGCTAGTGGTGCCACTGCCGATTGTGATAGTAACGGCAGGAGCAACGGATATCGAGCCACCGGTATAAGAAACACTGGCAGGATCTCTACAGTGAGAGGAGCATCCGGTGATAGTGCTTGGTACAGCAGTAATGGCAGCAGCAACAGCAGCAGGGGCCAGAGCCGTAGTACTAGTGACTGGAGTAACAGCAGCTCCTGCGGACGCGGGAGGTCAAGCGGAGTCGGGAACGAGTATGGAGACCGGAGCGACTATAGTAACAGCAGGAGCAGCATTAGTGACAGCAGAAGTGACAGCAGAAGTGGTTACAGCAGCAGCAGCCGCAGCAGCAGGAGCAGGAGCAGCAGAAGCAGCAGCGGCAGGGGCAGCAGAAACAGCGGGGCGCGGGCAGGGGCGCGGTGGGAGCATGATTTTTGGGAGGCGCTGGAGGGGGTGGGGCGCGAGAGAGACTCGGGGGATGTGTGGGCGGAAATAGTGGCGCAGCTAGGGGGGACGGGGGAAGAGCAAGGGGAGGGAGGGGGAGATGAGGGGGCCGGGGAGAAGGAGAGGAAAGGCGAGGCGTTGAGGAGGGGTGGGCTGGAGTTTGGGGATGGGGGGGAGGGGGAGGGGAAGGGGAGGGGGGGAGATTTTGGGGGGGAGAGGGGGGATGAGGGGGGGTGGAGGGAGAGGGTATTGGGGAGAAGAGTGGAGCCTGAAGCGGTTTTGGAGGAGCTGCATATCAGGTAGGCTCACAATCTCCCCTTAGGCTCACAATCTCCCCTTCGGCTCACAATCTCCCCTTAGGCTCACAATCTCCCTTTAGGCTCACGGTCTCCCCTTAGGCTCACAATCTCCCCTTAGGCTCACAATCTCCCCTTAGGCTCACAATCTCCCCTTAGGCTCACAATCTCCCCTTAGGCTCACAATCTCCCCTTAGGCTCACGGTCTCCCCTTGCTGCCATTGGGGGTGATCTGGTGTGGGCGATAAGAAGCAGCCGCGGCAGGGAATGGGAGAAAGAGGTGTGAGGTGAGGGGGAGGAAGGGGTGTGAGGGGGAGAAAGGGGTGTGAGGGGGGCAGGGGAGCGTGAAGCGGTTTTGGAGGAGCTGCATTTGTGGTATGTGAGTGGTGTGTGAGTGGTGTGTGGGTAGTGTCGTGGCATGAATTTTTTACTTTTGAGTCCACACTCAGAAGTTAGAAATCAGGTGGGAGTGTGTGAGTGAGTAGTGTATGAGTGAATGGTGTGTGAGTGAGTAGTGTGTGAGTGAGTGGCCTATCACTCACGTCTTCTCCCCCCCTGCCCCTCCCCTTCCCAGAAACTTCGCCCTGGTGGAGCATCAGGTGGTTTCGTTCGCCCCCGGCTTCAACGTCATCACGGGCGACAGCGGGTCGGGCAAGTCCATCATCGTGCAGGCGATAGCTCAGGTGAGGTCTAGGTCTGGTTTATAGCAGAGGCGTGGCTGTAGCACAAGTGAGGCTGTAGCACGGGTGAGATTGACCCCCGGCGTCGATGCCATCATGGGGGACAGCGGGTCGGGCAAGTCCATCACCATGCAGGCCATAGCTCAGGTGAGGTTAGATGCAGGCGATAGCCCAGGTGAGGTTAGATGCAGGCGATAGCCCAGGTGAGGTTGGATGCAGGCGATAGCCCAGGTGAGGCTAGATGCAGGCGATAGCTCAGGTGAGGTTACATGCAGGCAATAGCTCAAGTGAGGTTAGATGCAGGCGATAGCTCAGGTGAGGTTAGATGCAGACGATAGCTCAGGTGAGGTTAGATGCAGACGATAGCTCAGGTGAGGTTAGATGCAGACGATAGCTCACGTGAGGTTAGATGCAGGCGATAGCTCCCGTGAGGTTAGATGCAGGCGATAGCTCCCGTGAGGTTAGATGCAGGCGATAGCTCAGGTGGGGTCAAATGCAGGTGAGGGCAGGTGAGCGCAGGTGAGGGCAGTGTAAGTTTCAAATCTCCTCTGATCCTTTCCTCTCATCCCCTCCTTTCCCCCTCTCCCTCCCCCCCCTCTCTAAGGTGCTGGGAGCAGCGGCATCAGAAGACTCTGTGCGGCCTCCGGCCCTCTCCTCCTCCCTCTCCGCCCATCTCTCCCTCTCCCCCTCCGCCTCTCACTCCCTCCTGCAACTGCTCAGGCAGGAGGGCCGGCTGGATGTGGTGAAGGCCGTTTCTGGGGGAGGTGATGGGAGGGTGAATGTGGTTTTAGAGAGGGAGATTTTCCGCTCTGTTTCGTCTACTGAGGCTGATAACGAGTCTGACGAGGATGCTAATAGCGAGGTCAAGGCAGGAGGGGGTCCTGGTGGTGGTGGCAGCAGCAGCAGCGGCGACAGCAGAAGAGGGGCCAAGCAGAGCGGCAGCAAGAGCAGCAGCAAGATCAGGAGCAGGAAGGCAAGGAGCGCGTGCCGGGTGAACGAGGTGGCAGTACCTCTAAGGCTGCTGCGCGCCGTGGGGGCGGCTGTGGTTGACCTTAACGGGCAGAACGCACAGGGAGCGCTGAGGAGCGAGGCCGCTCAGCTGCTGCTGCTGGATCGATTTGCAGGGAGGGGCCTGGGTGGGGGTGAGGGTGGGGGTGAGGGTGGGGGTGAGGGTGAGGGTGAGGGTGAGGGTGAGGGTTTGCGCAAGGGAAGTGATGTGGGCGTTAGTACTGGTGAAGCAGGGGGAAGGAGAGGGATGGGGCTGTATGGCGAGTGGGAGCAGGAGGAGTGGGTGGGGAGAGTGGATGAGGGAGGCGAGGAGATGAGGGAGAGGGGTGTGGAAGAGGAGAGAGGGGGGAACGGCAGAGAGGAGCAGGGAGGAGGGGAGGGGGTGGAGGTGGGGGTGCTGCTTGCGAGAGTGCAGCAGGTGTGGGAGGAGCAGAAGAGACTGCAGGAGGCTGGGGGGGAGCAGACGCTGTCAATGCTGCAGGAACTGGTAAGCGAGGTCCCCAGGAAGGAACCCCGGAAACCCTGGGTTCCTGGAATGTCGGGTCCCAGTCCCAGGGTCCCGAGGGGCCAGTGGTTTCAGGGGTGTGGGGTCCCCCTGGGTCCCGAGGTGGGGGGGGGTTCAGTTCAGGGGTGACGGGGACTGGTAAAGAAGGGAGCTCAGAGGTCTCAGAGGTGCGGAGCAGGCGCTGATGTTGCTGCAGGAGCTGGTAAGGTTGTGGGCAATGGGGGAGTACGGGAGGAGATCGAAGACCACTTCCGGATGATAGGAGTCTAGTTTTGAGGCGCCTCAAAACCGCGTGATAGAAGTCTAGTTTTGAGGCGCCTCAAAACTAGACTCCTATCACGTGGTAAGGGTGTGGGCAATGGGGGAGTATGGGAGGAGATCGAAGACCAATTCCGGACTCCTTTCTTCTCCAACTTCCCCCCTCCTCCCCTCCCCTCCTTGCCCACCCCTCCACACGCACCCTGCTGCCCCTCAGCTCAGGTGAGGAGAGACCAGGGCTGAGAGAGAGCGAGGTAGACGCGTTCAGAGAGGAGGTCAAAGCGCATGAGAGGGCGCTGAGAGCTGCAGAGAGTTGCAGCCGTGCGCACGAGTCCCTAGAGGGGCCAGCAGCTGCAGGCGTGCACACGAGTTCCTAGAGGGGCCAGCAGCTGTCGGCGTGCACACGAGTCCCTAGAGGGGCCAGCAGCTGTCGGCGTGCACACGAGTCCCTAGAGGGGCCAGCAGCTGCAGGCGTGCTGCACGGGCTCACCAAAGCCTCACACCCTCCCACCTCACCCCCCCCCTCTTCGTCCGTTCTGCCCCTCGGGTGGATGATGTGGAGCGGCTAGGCGTGAAGGAAGGGGAAGAGGAGGGAATCACGGAGGAGATCAAAGCCCATGAGAGGGCGCTCAGAGCCGCACAGCTTCTTATCTCCCTTCTTCCCCTCCCTTCCCACTGCGCTTCAGGTGGATGACGTGGAGCGGCTAGGGCTGAAGGAAGGGGAAGTGGAGGCGATACGAGAGGAGATCAAAGCCCATGAGAGGGCGCTCAGAGCCGCAGAGAGCTGCAGCCGTGCACACGAGTTCCTAGAGGGGTCTGCGGCCTTAGGGGTGCTGCAGGGCCTTACCAAGGCTGCAGAGGAGCTTAGGGAGGTGGAGGAGGAGGAGCAGGAGGAGGAGGAAGGGGCGCGGGATGGGGAGGAGGAGGAGGGGAGTGGGAGGAAGAGAGGAAAGGGGAGGGCGGGGGGGTTCGTGCAGAGGGGGCGGCTGGCGGATGTGTCGGCGGCGTTGGAGCTGCTGGGGGAAGCCAAGATGCTGGTCAACAGAGCGGTGAGTGCTGGGTTTAGAGCGGTGAAGAGTGGTGTACGTGCAAAGAGGTCGGCAGCATTAGAGCTGCTGGGGGAAGCAAAGATGCTGGTGAACAGAGCGGCGAGTGCTGGGTTTAGAGCGGTCAAGAGTGCTGTACATGCAGAGGGGGTGGCTGGCAGATGTGTCAGCAGCATTAGAGCTGCTGGGGGAAGCAAAGATGCTGGTCAACAGAGCGGTGAGTGCTGGGTTTAGAGCGGTCAAAAGTGGTGTACGTGCAGAGGGGGCGGTTGGCGGATGTGTCGGCAGCGTTGGAGCTGCTGGGGGAAGCCAAGATGCTGGTCAACAGAGCAGTGAGTGGTGAGTTTAGAGTGGTGAAGAGTGGTGAGTGCTGCTGTGATTAAAGCAGTGAAGAGCGTTGAGTGGCGTGAGTACTATTTGGATGGCTTGTGGTTTGACTGTGCCATGTGCACCCCATACACCGCACTGCACCCTGTCCCATTCCACCCATACCACTCCATTGCACCGCTCTGAACCACACCAGAAGGACCACGTGGAGTGCTACTTGGACGACCTGCGGTTCTCAAAGGAGCGCATAGACCGACTCAAGAAGCGGCTGAGAGAGGTGAGGTGGGGTGGTGGGTGGTGATGAGGGGTGCTGCTGGGTAAGGGGAAGGGGAATGGGAAATGTGAGGAGCAGGGAAGAGAGGGATTTCTCAAGTTGACATGTAAATGGCTTCTGCTCTTTGGACACCCCCTTCAGACTAGATTTTGTTTCTGCCTTCTGCTCTTGTGTGATGAGTCGACTCAAAAATCGACTCATTACACACGGGTTGTTCCTGCCTTCTGCCTCCGTGCTGCTGTGCTGTGCATGCCGGCAGATAGAGGTCGTTCGCAGGCGCCACACCATTCGAACTGCATCTGAGCTCTGGTCTGCCGCCCAAAAAGCGGCAGATCAGATCTCCAGCTCAGGTGAGCTTGTGGTGGAAGTGGGGGTGGCAATGTGGAGAAAAGGGGATGTCGATATAGGGGATGCTGTGGTGCTCGTTTGCACTGAGTTCCCTCACTTCCCAACCCCTTAAAGCGATGATGATGTTGAATTTTTTTATATATGTACCTTTTGTTCCCTACCCCATGGGCCTGGTTTCCCAAGCTCATCCCCCCACCATCACCTGCCAAAGATTCCATCCTCTTTCATTATAAGCTCCCTCCATCCCCTCATTTGTCTCCCCATATTTCCACTCCCTCGGTTCCCCCTGCCTCATACCCCTTTTCCCTTGATCCCTTGCTCTCTCCTTGTTATCCTTTTTTCTTCTCCTTTTTTGTTACCACGACAGGGAGTGTGGAGAAGAGGCAACGAGAGCTACAGGACGAAATGAACCGCCTTGCAGCGGAGATCGGGCGGCAGTTTCTGGCAGCTAGCAGGAGGAGGCGGGTGGCAGCGGAGGGCCTGGGGGAGAGAGTGGAGGGCGTGCTGAGAGGGCTGGAGATGGGTGCTGCGCGGTTCAGAGCGGTGGTGGCGTGGGTAAGCAGGGAAACGGCGGTATTTCACAGGTGGTGTGAAATTCAGGAGGGCCCTTATTCACTCCACTCCCCTCGTTCAAAAGGTACTACAGAAAATAGCAGTGGTTGCTTTTGAGGCGCCTCAAAAGCATTCCCCTCAGTTCAGGAAGGTACTACAGAGAATAGCAGTGGTTGCTAGGCTCCCCTTCGTTCCTCACCTGCCTCCCCTTTTCCCCCACCCCGTCCCCTCTTCCCCTCCCTCTTCCCCACCCTCCCCTCTTCCCCCACCCCTCCCCTCTTCCCCACCCCTTCCTTCCCCTGCGGCCTGGCCCCCTCCCTGCTTCCCTCCTTCCCTCCCCTTCTCCACCCCCCCAAATTCTTCTCCACAACCCCCGCTTGCTGCCTCTCCCCCTTCCCCTCGCTGCAGGAGCCCGGCATTCCACATGCCTACAGTGCAACGTCAGCTTCCCCCAGCCAATCACAGCTCAGCATGGAGGGGTCGAGGAGGGGGGGTGGAGGAGTGGGAGTGAGGGAGGGGGGGAGTGTGGGGGGGAGGGGAGCTGGGCGGAGGGGGAAGGAAACAGAGTGGGAGGAGGAAGAGGACGAAGAGGACGAAGAAGGGGAGGAGGAGGAAGAGGAGGAAGAGGAGGAAGAGGAGGAGAGGGGTCAGCATGAGGGGTCAGAGATATTAGTGGATGAGGGGCTGATTCGAGTGGAGGGAGCTGAGAGCGTGGGCGAGAGGAGCGATGTATTTTACCGATACAGCAGCACGGGCATGGATAGGGTGGGTGGGGTGAACATGGTAAATTCCACATCTAGGGTGCCGATAGCGCAACCTATGTGCTTGTGCTGATTTCTCGTGTCAGCCCTAGAAGTTCGTTGATGGTGCTTGCAAGTCCAAGCAACGGAATGCTATCAGTTTTCTGGCATTCTCAAACCATCCTTCCCCCCCGGCAGGTGGTGTTTCAATTGTCAGCCAATCCCGGGGAGCCTCTTTTGCCGCTCTCCCAGGTGGCGTCGGGCGGGGAGTGCTCACGAATCATGCTGGGTGGGTGGGTATCAGAAACTGAGAACTTGATTGATTGAAATGAGCAAGAGCATACATCCTTAAGTACCGAGCATCGGAGAGGATGGGAAGGGATAAGGGAGAATCGGAGGGAATCCCAAGGGAATCCTCCCAAATCGTGGGGATTTGGGATGGATTGGGTTGGGATAGGTTGGGGATGAAAACATAGCTACACCCAACCTAACAAATATGAGTATCCCTAAAACCAAGAAAGTGTCAACACACAAAATTGTGCCAACCGAATTGCAGCCTATCTCTAACACACCCCCTAGGCTGCAACGTCGGAAGCCGTAGGGACGCCAAGTCCCATGGTACGGAGGAGACGATAGTGATCACGGCGTCCAAGAGCCTTCGTAAACAAGTCGGCGAGGTTGCAGTCAGAGGAAATATGCTTGACGCACAACTGCCCTCGCTGGACGAGCTCGCGCATGAAGAAGTGTCTCAATTCGATGTGCTTGGTTCGTTGGTGGAAGACAGGATCTTTGGTGAGGTGGATAGTGCTCTCGTTATCACACCACAGAGTCGGGGTCTGCTGAGGATACCCGAGCTCAGCCATGAGGTAGGTAAGCCATCGAGCTTCTTGGGCTGCCATGGTGCCTGCGTATAACTCAGCTTCGCAAGATGACAATGAGACGGATGATGAGCGTGTAGATCGCCAGCTGATGACACCACTGCCAAGGGTGAAGCAATAGCCTTGGGAAGAGCGGCGGTCAGCTTGATCATCAGCCCATGAGGAGTCGCTGTATCCCTCGAGGTGAGGAGGGGTCGTGCCACCGAGAGTGAGGACGTAGTCCTTGGTGGCTTGGAGGTAGCGAAGGACGCGCTTAGCAGCCGACCAGTGGCGATTGGTGTATCGACCGGCAGCAACGTAACGCGAGAGCACACTGATGGGGTAGGCGAGGTCGGGCCTTGTGCACATCATCGCATACATGAGTGATCCGACGAGCTCGGGGTATGCCTCATCACAAGGCTCAGGCGATGGAACTGATGGAGTGGTCAGATCATGCTGCAAGGGAAGGGGAGTGGCCACTGGCTTGGCGTTGTCCATGGCAAAACGCTTGAGGACGTTGTTCACATAGAACTCTTGAGAGAGAGTGATGGTTCGAGCTTCGCGATCCCGCGAGATTTCCATCCCAAGGTAGTTCTTGAGTTCACCGAGGTCCTTCATGGCGAGAGCGTCCCCAAGAGCTTGCTTAACAGCTGCCAGCTGATCGGAGTCCTTGGAGACGAGAATCATGTCGTCAACGTAGACAAGGATGAAGAACGGGTTGTCGTTCTTGCGAATGAAGAGACTCGGATCGGCTGAGGAGGGGTGGAAGTCGAGTGACTCGAGGGTTGCCTTCAGCTTCTTGTGCCATTCCCGAGGAGCCTGCTTCAACCCGTAGACTGGTCGATTCAGCTTCCAGACCGTGCCGGGTGGAAAGGGTAAGGGAAATCCTTGAGGACGTTCCATGTAGATGTCCTCGGGGAGATCCCCTTGGAGAAATGCAGCAGAGACGTCCATGGAGTGAACGTCAAAGTTGCATCGAGCAGCGATGTCCAGCAGGGTCCGAAGTGTGGGCAGTTTGGCTGTCGGAGAGAATGTGTCGAAGAAGTCCAGGCCCTTCTTCTGCGTGAAGCCTTTTGCACAGTATCGCGCCTTGAAGACTGGGAGTTCGCCAGGCAGTTGCTTGACGCGAAAAACCCATTTGCCACGGACAATGTTAACTCCTCGCGGAGGGGAGACGTCCGTGAAAGAGTTGTTGCGAATGAATGCTTCACACTCCGCGATCATGGCTGCGAGCCACTGGGGGGAGTGTGGTCCAGAGATGGCTTCATCATATGAGTTCGGGGTCGGGATGGATGGATTTTCCGAGAAGTTAAGAGTTGGAGCGTCGGCAAGGTCGGGGAAGAGATGGCAGAGCTGACGGATGGCAGCATTGATCTCAATCAGCTCCTCATGCCTATCCTCCAAGAGGCCAGGCATGGATGCACCCCCGGCAGGAGGAGGCGGATTGAGGGAGATGCGAACAGAGAGGGCGAGAGGCGGAGCGGGACCATGAGAGCGGGTGCGGTGAGCAATAGGGACAGGAGAGGAGGGAGGTGGCGGGGGAGCAGGTGGGACATCGACATAAGAGCGTCCGTGGCGACGGCGACGATAGGTGATGGGCGAGTCGGGAGGAGAGGTGGAGGTTGGAGGCGGAAGCGGAGGTGAAGGCGGGGAGGGAGGCGCGGGGGCAGGGGGAGCCACAGAAGGAGAGGGAGGTGGAGGGGCAGCTGCAGGAGCGGGTGCAGGGGGAAGTGCAGGCGCGGGCGGAGGTGAACGGGCAACTGAGCCAGTGGGCGAAGAGGGGTGAGAGAGAGTGGAAGGAGATGGGGAAGGTGAGAGTGAGGGGGCCGCAGGAGCGGCAGAGGGAGGAGGTGGGGTGGGTGAAGTATCGAAATCAGCCCACACAAGCGAAGGTGGAGCGGTGGGGGGTGGTGAAGAGAGGTAAAAAGGGCGACTCTCGTCAAAGGCGACATCGCGGCTACGAATGAGCTGATTGGTGGAGAGATTGAGGAAAAGGTAATCGGGAGAGTCCAGGTTGTGGCCGAGGTAGACACAGGGTTGAGCTTTGGGTGCAAATTTGCCGCCGTGGGTGCGACGTTCCTGAGGGTTGAGGAGGACATAAGCTGTACACCCCCATACGCGGAGAGGACGTGCACTGGGCTTGGTGCCGGTCCACAGTTCAGCGGGAGTGATGGCAGGCCGAAGAGGGTGAGGCAACTGGCGTAGTTTGCTTTGCGCGCAGTCCAAGCATGGAGGAGCGGGAGAAGTGGAGGGTGGAGGAAGTGTGTCGGGCAGGTGAAGAAGCAACTTCTTAGACGCAAGCTCGGAGAGCATGCGGAAGTTGGGATGCCCAAGACGATGGTGGTAAAGAATGGTTGGATCGGTGAGCTGACGGCAGGAGCACGATGATGTGGTGGAGGTAGAGTGTGCTTCTGTGGAAGATGGAGGTACTTGGAGTGTGTAGAGGTTGTTGGCGGTCAGTGTGAAGCGTGCAAGTAGGGCATTGGTGGTGGGCTGAAGGAGATCACAGTGATTGGAATGAGCTGGGAAGATAGTGGTTACCCCTGCTCGTTGAATCTCATGTTGTGCAAGTAAATTGTGCCGAAGAGTGGGCACGCATATGCCAGTGACTGTGCCAGATGGGAAGGCTGGGCATGGAAGAGTGGAGGAACCATGGGCGACAGTTGTGAAGCTGGAGTCAGCGCCCAGAAGAGGAATGGGTGCTTGGTATGGTTTGAAAGACTCTTTGTCTCGGAGGACTGTGTGGGTTGCGCCACTGTCCAGGACGAATTCAAGCGGTTTAGATGGTGTTTGTGGAGACGTCGAGTACTGGGAACTGGTTTCATTGATCATGGGAAGGCCAGGGAACAACAGGTTGAGACGAACATCAGGACTAGGGGCATGAACGGCTGAGTCCTGACTATCCTGTGCCTCAACCTGGTTGAGCTGGCGCATGCGAAGCCAGTTGGGCGGCTTGGAGTTGATACCATTCTTGGCGAACCAGTCGTCGTCCTTCTTTTTGAAACAGGTGGCGAGCGGGTGATTGGTGCCGCCGCACACCTGACCCGCACGGGGTCCCATTTTGATGACGTAAGGACAGGGTGGGTAGCGGTTACGAGTGGGTGGCGGATTGGGACGCGATGCTGGAGCCGGGACAGGAGCGCGAAGCGCATTTGCACGAGCCTGCGCAGTGTTGTCTTTTTCAGCAGAGAGAAGTGCGGAAGAGACTTTGGCAAAGGTTAGCTCTTCTGGCGGGAGATGGAGAAGCATGGAGCGGGTGACATTGTAAGAGGGGGTCAGCCCAACAAGCAGAGCTGCTGCAGGGGCTTGCTCTGGGAAGACAATGCCGAGTTGCTTCAGCTCCTGATGAATCCCTTGAATTTCAGCGACGTAATCTGCCATTCCAGGGCACTCCTCCAGACGCACTTGAAACATGCGGGGGATGAGGATCGCCACCCCCACAGCGGTTTTGTTGAGGAAGCGGTCGTTGAGGTACTCCCAGATGGCGTGCGCGGAGGGGTAGTTATGGTAAGTTTTGACGAGCTCGGAAGGGGTAGTGCCGACGAAGACGCCAATGATAGCGGCGTCGGCTTGCTCCCACACGCTGTAAGATTCCTCATACTTGGACATGGATTCCTCATGGGTTTTTAACTCTTCCCCTGTGGCTGTGGCCGAGAGCTTCTTGGGAAGGATCGGCATCTTTCCTTTGCCGCGATTGAGGAGGACATCCTTGAGGCAAATCCCCTCAATTTTACGGCTTAGGAGATGCTTATCAACCCCATAGCTCCACTCCTTGAAGTTCGGGCTCGAGCCATTTGGGTCGAGGCGCAAGGGAGTGATCGGGTTTGAGAGAGACGCGGAAGGATACGCCATGATGCTCCAAGGACCCTTTCTCCGCGCGTAGCGCAGCTCTTAAGTCGCCGATAGGCACTTCGGCGACTTAAACGAGCTGCGCGCAGCGCGGGCTCCGCGAAAAACAGGGTTTCCCTTTGCGGATTTTCAACACTCGGAGAAGAGGAATAGCCGATAAAGAGGGAAATCTGAACGCCAAAAATCTATGGAAACCCGCGATGTGCTGCTGCAATCCCGCTGCTCCGCGACCCCCCCTTTTCCGCTTCGCCGCTGCCCCTTTCCGCTTCGCCGCTGCACCCCCCCGCTGTTGCAAGGGCGACGGGCGACAGCCCGTCCAGCTTCGACGAGCAGATGCGGGGCGACGGGCTCAGCCCGATCAGGTGCGACGAGCAGATGCAGGGCGACGGGCTCAGCCCGATCAGGTGCGACGAGCAGATGCGGGGCGACGGGCTCAGCCCGATCAGGTGCGACGAGCAGATGCGGGGCGACGGGCTCAGCCCGATCAGGTGCGACGAGCAGATGCGGGGCGACGGGCTCAGCCCGATCAGGTGCGACGAGCAGATGCGGGGCGACGGGCTCAGCCCGATCAGGTACGACGAGCAGATGCGGGGCGACGGGCTCAGCCCGATCAGGTGTGACGAGCAGATGCGGGGCGACGGGCTTCAGCCCGAAAAGAAGCGCCGCGCTGAGTTGAGGCGACTAGAAAAGCTTTGCGTCGTAAGACGCAAATGCTAGGCTCCAACGGAGCGAGAGGATCAAGAGCCGCTTAGGCGGAAACGAGCTCTGATACCATATCAGAAACTGAGAACTTGATTGATTGAAATGAGCAAGAGCATACATCCTTAAGTACCGAGCATCGGAGAGGATGGGAAGGGATAAGGGAGAATCGGAGGGAATCCCAAGGGAATCCTCCCAAATCGTGGGGATTTGGGATGGATTGGGTTGGGATAGGTTGGGGATGAAAACATAGCTACACCCAACCTAACAAATATGAGTATCCCTAAAACCAAGAAAGTGTCAACACACAAAATTGTGCCAACCGAATTGCAGCCTATCTCTAACAGTGGGTCCAGTTGAGCGCTCGATGGGGTGATGATCATGAGTGGGTCGATGATGCTGCTGCGTGGGTGGGATGATGGGGCGCTGGATGGGCTGGTTGATGATCAGCCACTTGCCACCCGCCACTGGTTATGTGCATCTCAGAGGTCAATGTGTTATCTGTGCATTTCAGAGGTCAGGTTAAGTATGCACGGATTGGCTGATGATCAGTCACTGGATATGGGGACAATCCGCCAATGTGCTATCTGTGCATTTTAGAGGTCAAGCCGAGTATTGGGTCTCGCAAGTTAAGGGTGAACGCCCCTTACGTTCCCCCTTGGCGTCCCCCTTGGGGGCGTTCGCCTTCCAGTTTTGAGGCGCCTCAAAACTATTCCCCCCTTCGTCCCCCTCAAAACGTCTTTGTTCACTTTCCTTCGTCCCCCTCTCCTTTGACCCCTTTCCTTCAGCACTGAAAATCATTGCAGCCACAACTGCCACCAGCACCACCACCGCAGATACAACCTCCACCAGTACCACCTCAGATAACACCTTCACCAGCACCACCTCCCCATCATCCTTGGCAACAAGCAGCACCAGCCATGATCTCCCAGCGGCCAATGGGAGCACACCAGGGGTCAGCGTGTCGGTGTTTGATGAGCTGGACAGCGGTGTTGGCGGCCGAATCGCCTCCCGATTCGCCCTCGCCCTGCGCCACCTGTGCAGACAGGGTAACCAGGTGAGGGAACAGGGTAACCAGGTGAGTGTACCTAGAGTTAGGGGTAACCAGGTGAGTATAGTCAGGGGTGACCAGGTGACTATTTTTCGAACAGGGGTAATGAGATGAATATTCTTCGAACAGGGGTAACCAGGTGGTGAGTGGAGCGGGTAACCTGTGAGTAGACAGGATAACCAGCATGCACTTTAGCGCACCTCCTCTCTTTCTCTCTCGCTTCATTCCCCAACCCATGTGCTTCATCTTTATTCCCCAACCCATGTGCTTCATCTTCATTCCCCAACCCATGTGCTTCATCTTCATTCCCCAACCCATGTACCCCGTGCCACCAGCTCATCTGCATCACTCACCTGCCCCACGTGGCAGCGCACGCTGCCTCGCACATGCACCCATGGTAGCTCGCTGCCTCGCACATGCACCCATGGTAGCACGCTGCCTCGCACATGCACCCATGGTAGCACGCTGCCTCGCACATGCACCCATGGTAGCATGCTGCCTCGCACATGCACCCATGGTAGCATGCTGCCTCACACATGCACCCATGCTAGCACCCTTATCATCTTCCTGTGTCCCTCCCATCCACCACATGCCACCCACCACATGCCACCCAAGAGGTGATCTGCGCCAGGCACCTCCCCCAGGTGGCACCGTGGCAGTGCACACACCGACTCGCACGTCAGCAACGCGTGGATGAAGCCGATGGGCGCTTAAGAACTCCCCTCATCATTCACTCCTTTGCCCTACCCATGCACCACGTACCACATGGCTCATTTATGGTCTGTGGCAGTGCACGCCGACTCGCACATGCACCCGTGGTAGCACTTGCACCCTTACCTTTTCCCCCGTGTCCTACCTGTCCACCACGCACCACCTGCCATCCACCACATGCCACCCACCAGGTCATCTGCATAACCCACCTCCCCCAGGTGGCAGTGCACGCCGACTCACACATCAGCGTGAGCAAGCACGTGGACGAAGCGATTGGATGTGCCGATTCCTTTCCACTTTTGCCCTACACATGCACCACATATCACATGGCAGGTGATCTGCATCACGCATCTCCCCCAGGTGGCGGTGCACGCCGACTCGCACATCAGCGTGAGCAAGCACGTGGACGAGGCCGATGGGCGCATGCGCACCACTGCTGTCCGACTCACAACCCTGGAGGAACGGGTGAGGCTTAATGAGGCTCAAGGAGGGGTGAGGGGTGGTAAGCGATGGTGACATGACGGGATAGGAAGGATAGGCGCATGCGCACCACTGCTGTCGGAATTTCGACCCTGGAGGAAGGGGTGAGGTCAAAAGGAAGGCACGGGTGGGGTGACGAGAGGTGTAAGGCTAGGACGCGAGGGGGAGCAAGCACGTGGACGAGGCGGATGGGGGCATGCGCACCATTGCTGTCCGACCCACAACCCTGGAGGAACGGGTGAGGCTGACGAGAGGTGTGAGGGTTGGGGAGTGAGGGTGAGCAAGCACGAGGACGAGGCGGATGGGCGCATGCATGGGCACCAATGCTGTCCGACTCACAACCCTGGAGGAATGGGTGAGGCTGGGAGGGGCACAGGCTGTAGGATGGGGCAAGTTTGAACGAGGCTGTAGGGCAGAGCGAGGCCGACGGGCGCATGCGCACCACCGCTGTCAGACTCGCAACCCTGGAGGAACGGGTAGGTCAAAAGGGAGGCACGGGTGGGCTGACGAGAGGTGTAAGGGTTGGGGAGTGGGGGTGAGCACGCACGTGGACGAGTCCGATGGGCGCATGCGCACCACTGCTGTCCGACGCACAGCTTTGGAGGAACGGACAGGTCGTGGAAGTTAGTAAATGAGGGCGAAGTTGTCAGACTGACATGCCTGGTAGAGCTGGTAAGACTGGAAGGCGTTAACTCTGTTTTTGAGGAGCCTCAAAAGTAGACTCCTGGGGCTGATGGGGTGCGTCCGCACTATCATTGTCAGACCGACTTTTGAGTCGACGCGAAAACAGACTCCTGGGGCTGATGGGGTGCGTCCGCACTATCATTGTCAGACCGACTTTTGAGTCGACGCGAAAACAGACTCCTGGGGCTGATGGGGTGCACTATCCGCACTATCCGCGGGGTTGGAAGAAGGGGGGAGGTGAGATGGGGGTTGAAATTGCGAAGCAGGGTGAGGGGCAGGAAACGGATGGGCGCTTGCGCACCACTAGTGAGCCAACTCAAGAGCGCTTGCACACCACTTCGTAGAAGGCTTACTTTGAGATGTCTAAAAAAAGGTCGACTGAAAAGCGCTTGCACATCAATTTCCTCCGACTGACAAGCCCGAAGAAATGGGTGGGTCTTGTCGGGGGTAAAAGGCAGCCACACAATCTGCTTGCGCTTGCCACTCACTCTTCTTTGACCTCTTCCCCCTCTCCCACCTCTCCCCAATCTCCCCCTCTCCCCCTCTCCCCAATCTCCCCACTCTCCCCCCTCTTCCCACTCTCCCCCCTCTTCCCACTCTCCCCCCTCTTCCCCCTGTTCCCCTTCTTCCCCCTCTCCCCCCTCTTCCCCCTCTCCCCCCTCTCCCCCTCTCCCCCCTCTCCCCCCTCTCCCCCCTCTCCCCCCTCTCCCCCCTCTCCCCCCTCTCCCCCTCTCCCCCCTCTCCCCCCTCTCCCCCCTCTCCCCCCTCTCCCCCCTCTCCCCCCTCTCCCCCTCTCCCCCTCTCCCCCCTCTCCCCCTCTCCCCCCTCTCCCCCCTCTCCCCCCTCTCCCCCTCTCCCCCCTCTCCCCCCTCTCCCCCCTCTCCCCCCTCTCCCCCTCTCCCCCTCTTCCCCCTCTTCCCCCTCTTCCCCCTCTTCCCCCTCTTCCCCCTCTTCCCCCTCTTCCCCCTCTTCCCCCTCTTCCCCCTCTTCCCCCTCTCCCCCCCCCTCTTCCCCCTCTTCCCCCTCTTCCCCCTCTTCCCCCTCTTCCCCCTCTTCCCCCTCTCCGTTCAGGCCTTGGAGGTGGCTCAGATGCTGGGCCTGGGGCTGCCATCAGCGCTGGAGCTTTTCAGCGCAAAGAGAGGCTCGGAGGAACTAACGAGCGCGGAACGGGAGTTGAAGGTTGAGGAGCTGGACGCGTGATCAGTGCAGAGAAGGAAGACGGGCTCATTGTGTATTTTTGAGGCGCCTCAAAAAAGAGATTTTCATCGCAGAGAGAGGCTCTGAGGAACTAATTCGCGCAGAACGGGAGTTGACGGTTGTGGAGCGAGACGCGTGATCGGTGCAGAGAAGAAATAGGGATGTGCTCAGTGTTTTCTCGTGAATATGAATGGTGGGCGTATATTTCAACGTGCGCGCTTCCAAAGCGTGTGGTCTGCTCATTATCAGATTCTACCTGAGGCCAAAGCATCACTATCCAGTGAAGGGTTCTTTAGAGATTTAGTGAAAAACAAGAGGCGACGAGATCGTCTTAGGGTTGCGGAGCATTTCATGATGAGACTTTATTATACATAAAATGTTTTATTTCCATCACAACGAACATTTGATTTTTATTTCACAAACTTGAAAAGAAAACCAGCCAGATCGATTGCAATAGGTTGCTCCGCAACCCAAAAACATGGCAAAAGCTGGCACCAAAAGATAACAACGAAGGAGCAACCCGGGTTTGAACCGGGGACCTATCGATCTGCAGTCGATTGCTCTACCACTGAGCTATTGCTCCATGTTTTGAAAGATCGTTTATATTGTTTTTGCACGTTTATAAATTTGAGAATCACACACGATTGAGTTGCACGTGAACGAATCGAATCGACTCTCTAGCAAGAGACTTTCTGCCCTTTCGGTCAGTGAGCAGTGTTCTGGTCCAACCAAAAGCAGGGCAGCAGACAGCAAGCAAAGCAGCAAGATCCCCACAGTTGAAACCTTTTTCCTGCCCTTGAGCTGAAGTTGTCGTGGAGAATTAGATTTCGTCCTCGCCGAATCTTCCCCCTCAGGGCTGCTTGATTATCCGTCACTGTGCACCACCAGCCCATCCAATCCGTTCTTACCGTACTCCGCTTCATCGCACCGCGTTGTTTCCCTTGACATCGCCCTTAATATGTCCGAGATTCCGTATCTTCTGATTGACCATCCCTCCCTAGGCCTTCTTCCTATCTGCTGCACTCCTGCTCGCCCTCCCCTCCTCAACTCTTCAACTCTCTGAACTCAGCACAAACTGATCAGAGAATATCAGAGGCAGCCAAATCATATTTCTCCTCTATGTCTGTCTCTGACTAAACTGTATCTTGTATCCTGATCCGATTTTAAGTCGTCCAACCACAAAGCACCCAAATTTCCTGAGGGCGTGTCCCAAACTTACGTTTGATAGCGGTCGGGTAAGATGCTCTCGGAGTCTGAAGGGGCAAAAAACAATCTAAACCGGTTGGGTAGGGTTTCACCCGCAACAGCAAGATGACCAAACGAAACAAGCCTTCTCTTCTCCGCCACACATCATGTCATATTCGCAATCTCGGCGCAAGCAATCTTGTTCGGCCACTACTGCCAGCTCAATTGCTTTCCAGAGCTGCCCTCCATAATCCCTACTTTACTCTCCCGCCCGACGAGTCTGCTGTGTCGGTTCAATTCCTCCTGCCCCCACACGTACCAACGAATGAGAGCGTCTCATCTCGTCCCATTTCCTTTCCTGCCTGCCCAAGATTGGTTGGCTGGAAAGCAGCCCTCTCTCCTCCATTTCCAGCCACATTCTGCCCATTTTACGACCACACGCCGCGACCAGACGTGTTGATTTGCCTGCCCGTCGTCCTCTCCTCACTCCACAAGGCAGATTTCCTCTCCCTCGACAAATCCGTAGATAATACTGTTGTAACCGACGCAGGATCATTACACTCGTACATTTGATCACATATCTGCACGTACAGATCACCGGCGCAGGTAATCTGTCGATAGTCCAGCTTGGCTGCGCCGCAAGCTCTGCGAATTTTCCGATCGAATCGAAACGCCTCTCTCTGGCGCAGCTGTGGCGTCTGTTCGCCCTCCTACTGATCACATTCTGGGCCGTCCATATGTCTCACGAGTCGAGTCGAGTCTAGTCGAAACGAAACTCTCTGGCAAAACTGTTGCGTCGGTTAGACCTTTTAGCGACCACATTTGGGCAGTCCACAAATCCCCAGTGGTACCTTCCAAAGGGAGATTTTCTGCGTCTTACAGCTCCTAGAACGCTGTAGAAGAAGCAGGCGCAGCACAGCACATTATCCTTGAACCATTCTTTGTATACGAGGTTGGGAAACTCGGGGGGGGAGCGGAGCAAGCTGGCCCGTCTGTAGTACTGCGTCTTACAGCTCCTAGAACGCTGTAGAAGAAGAAGGCGCTCAGCACATCGGATTATTGAGTATACTTCCTCACAACTGTGGCTCGACACGGCCCTGGTAACCATGAGAGGAGTTCTCTCTTTCGCCGACGCCTCTAGTCGCGGCTGATGCAACCCTTCTATCATCACGGCGGTCGTTCGGCTGCTGGATTCGAATCTTGAGAGCTCCCAGTGGGCGAACACCAAGGCTACTACTAGGCTAGTACCACCATTACTTAACTTACAACGGACACCTCTCTAGGACTTTTGACTCACCGACGCCTCCTAGAATCTTGGCTCTTTGCAAGGCATGGCAACACCGGCGGCCATGGATCTACCTCCGTTTTCCTACCCATCGTCGTCGCCTCCCAGTGCTCCCCCCAGTCAGGAATTCCCCTTCACCGACTTGGGTAACTCAGAATCCCTCCTCCCGCTCTTCCCCTCACCTGCTCAACCTCTTCTGGCGACGCCTAAAGCCTCCACCCCGGATCTCACTAACAACCGCAGCAGCTTAGGGTTTCATCATCCTTCCGATCAGATTGGTCCTAAGACTTGGCTGGTCTGCCCGGAAAAGAGTCTCGCACCGGAACCGGACTCCACCGCGCCTCTTTCCAGTACTCCCTCCCGGAAACGCTGCCAGAGCCAGCCGTTTCCCCGCAGCAGCAGCACCAGCCGCGGCAGCACTTGGCAATCCGAGCACTGGGGAGCATCAGCAGCAGCAGTCGCACTAGCGAGCCCCACAACTCGGCCGTCAGATGCAGCATCAGCACCGGCGCACAGGCGGAGAAGGATCGGAGCAGCAGCAACGGCAAGCACGGCGAGCCTGCCTGCCAAGATGCCGGCAGCAGAGGGGTTTGCGAGGGAGATCCAGGAGACGGCTCGGTCTATGAGCTTGGACCTGCCGCCCCCCTGTTGCTCCTCTATGTGCTCGTACTTCTCTGTGCCCTGCAGGATGAAAAGAGGGCGGTATGGGGGTGTTGTGAATGGATCGGCTCGGAGTGGGGGGGCTGGGGTTCCTGCTGATAGCAGCCTGGCGGTGCAGCAGCAGGCGCAGCAGCAGGCGCAGCAGCAGGCGCAGCAGCAGGCGCAGCAGCAGGCGCAGCAGCAGGTGCAGCAGCAGGTGCAGCAACAGGTGCAGCAACAGGTGCAAGAGCAGGTGCAGCAGCAGGCACAGCAGCAGCAGGCACAGCAGCCGCGTATGAGGTGGCAGGAAGTGGCACAGGCAATGCCGCCGCAGCAGCCTCTACAGCAGCAGCAGCAGCAGCAGCAGCAGCAGCAGCAGCAGCAGCAGCAGCAGCAGCTGGTGCAGCTGCCACTGCCGCCGCATCTTGAGCTGGGGCCACAAGAGCAGCAAGCACTCGCATGTCATCTCCAGCTGAATCCCCTTCACGGTCTCGTAAACAGAGTAAACACCTGCCTGAGCAGTTCACGTGCTATACATACTACTGAAACAGTTCATATGGGGGATCATGCGGCATCTGTTGGAGACGCAGGTCCCCACCAGCTCCAGGTTCTGAGCCCGTGTTCAATGGGCACAAGAGGCAGTGTGTGCAAGGATAGGGAGCCCCTAAGGGATGCTTTTGAGGCGCGACAGGATGTGCCTTTCTGCGCAGAAATGCAGGGTTTCCAGTCGTCATCTGCAGCTGAGCCAGCTCAGCAACCACCGCTGTTGTTTGGCCGGCCGCTTTCGTCTGCCAGCCTTGATGTGGAAAGCTCGAGAGTTGAGGTGATGATGCGAGGGAGCCATTTTCAGAATGCGGGTATCAGTGAGAAGGAAACGGATGCTTCTGTCGGCGAGAGGTGTCCTGCAGGGGGGGATGTGAATGAGGGTAAGAGATTGTTTGGCCGTGTGCTTACTCAGACTAGTGGAGAGCCGGTGACAAGTAGTGAGGTTGAAACTTGGCGTTTAGATCTTAATTTAGGATTGTAAATAAATGTTGGATGTAGGGTATGATTTCACTTGTGGAATTATACTACACACGCTGTTGGAAATATCTCAAGGACTTAAGCGTTTCTGAAGTGTAACATCACACTCGAGGAAGATCGTAACGAGTACGCGAGTCAACGGAGGTTACACGAGGGGATGGACAAAGAACACGAAAGGACTCGAAGGGTCGCAACCGGAGGTTGCGACTGACCGTTACAACAGCGCGGATGGTAACCGAAGCGACAATCGAGTCGCTGTGCGACTCGATAACCGCTCCTGCAACTGTATTCTACAACTGCTTTACTTTCCTATTTTCTATATATTGCTGTATGCTTGTTTTCTTTAATCAATCACTTGTTCTCATATACTAGTACAAGGGTTCAACTACCTCAACTTCCGCTGCACTACTCAAGTCTTTTACAACTGGGACTTAGTCTCTGGAAAGATCCTAAGGGCATTTCTCAGCCCAACACACGCAACCCAATAGAACATGTAAGGAAAAGGAAAGAGCTTAAGTAGGAGGCATGGTAAATGTATTAAATTGCATTAAGATATGTACATGGATGGAAGTAAACATGCACTGTCTAGGCTTTGCTACTAGTGCGTTATAAAGAATTTCGCTCCAGCACTGCCTTCAGGCTCAAGGCAAGTGAGCCTTCTGTGTTTATCTGGATTCAGGTTTCCACCAATCCTATCTGGATTTAGGACTTGCATAGGCATCCCCGAACGAACGAATATGGCGTTCTCCTCCTAGCCAAATCTGCTGCGCGTACGCAAGCCGCGTGGCGATCGGCGCGGCTCCTTCCCTGCCGTCCTCCTCGTTAGGTCAAACCGCGCGGTTTCGCACCTCCTTCCTTCCCTGAATTCCGATAAGCACAGCTACAGGTTCGGGCTCCCGGCTTTCGTAGCTTGAGGGAACGAATTGAGCCTTAAGGTTGCCTACACGATACGCCTCGAAGGTTCAGTCAGCTTCGAGTCTATGGACGTGTCGAGTCGAGTCGAGTCGTGTCGTGTCGAGTCGTGTCGTGTCGTGTTGAGTCGTGTCGTGTGGAGTCGTGTCGTGTCGTGTAGGCAACCTTTAGGCTCAACAACTTCGTCAGGCGAGCTTCTAGGCTATTAGTTAACGCTGTGGTGACGTGTGTCCTCCCGACGAGTGCTCACCGATTTGAGCGGGATTAGGGACCGGTAGCCTCAGGCCGTTCTGCTTACTGATTTTTGAGTTGTATTTTGAGTCGACTCAAAAATCACCTGGGATTAGGGACCAGTAGCCTCAGGCCGTTCTGCTTACTCTTAGATGACGCCTTGAGCCGCTATTTTTAGAGAAACGTCAGAGTCTAGGCTTTAGAGTATCATTGGAAGCCAATTGTAGGGATTTCCGCCCCGAAATGCACCTAGGCTAGCCGGCTCGAGCTCGCCTTGCAAATCGCGTTGCTGCTTGGATTCTTGAATTCTCGCCTGGGTTTAGCGTAGCGGACGCCGTGACTGGCTTTCGACGGCACCGAATTCGGGTACACGGTTCCTCGCGGTTCCTCTCGGTTCCTTTCGTTCGAAGCAAGAAGCGAAAACGAGCTTCGGTCAGCGGTTTCCAGCATGCTTCCTAGCAGCGCCGTGGTAAGTAATGCACCTGGTTGTTCTGTTTGATCCCAATATGCCGTGCATGCTGGATCCGTGTACTGCCAGGTCTCAGGCATGGCTTGATCTGTGTTATTTGTGTTTATGGAGGTCTAGTGTGGCCTACAGAGCTCTAGACAGGCATCTGTAGGTGGAGTTTTTGAGAGTCCGAAAACATCATCTGTCACTCTCTACGCCACTCACTCCCCCACTTCCTCCTCTCCCTCACTTCCTCCTCTCCCCCACTTCCTCCTCTCCCCCACTTCCTCCTCTCCCCCACTTCCTCCTCTCCCCCACTTCCTCCTCTCCCTCACTTCCTCCTCTCCCCCTCTTCCTCCTCTCCCTCACTTCCTCCTCTCCCTCACTTCCTCCTCTCCCTCACTTACTCCTCTCCCTCCTCTCTCCCTCCCACCCCGCACCCCCCAGTGCGAGCTCCTCAGGAGTTAGGACCTGTGACCCGTCTGCTGCAGCCCACAGACGGACATAGCAGCGGGGCCCGCCTGCCTCCCCCCATTTGCCCCTCAGCAAATCACCCCATTCTCCTCCCCCCCATTTGCCCCTCAGCAAGTCACCCCATTCTCCTCCCCCCCGCCCTCCCCCAGCCCAGCGCGAGCTCCTCAGGACCCGTCTGCTGCAGCCCACAGACGGACATAGCAGCGGGGCCCGCCTGCCTCCCCCACGTGCCACCAGACGCTGCTTTTGACGTGCCTCAAACCACTCCCCCCACTTGTTATTCAACACATTTCCCCCCTCCTCCACCCCCCCCCCCTCCTCCCTCACCCACCCCTTCTCCCCCTCCCCCAGCGCGAGCTCCTCAGGACCCGTCTGCTGCAGCCCACGGACATAGCAGCGGGGCCCGCCTGTCTCCCCCCCCTCCTCCGCGCGCACCCCCACCTCGCCCCCCGCCTCGTCTCCGCGCTCCTCTCTTTTGGCGCTCAACCCCAGGAGGGGGGATGGGGGGCGAGGCAGGATACCAGGTGGGATGGGGGGAGAGGCTGGGGGGGGGAGGGCATGGGGGGAGGGATGGACGGGTGGAGTGAGAGCGGAGAGCAGAGAGGTTTGGGAGGAAGAGGAGGAGGAGGAAACGAGGGTGCTGAAGCTGCTGCTTTAGACGAGGCAGTTGCAGCAGTCATGTCTTTAAGTGGCGGTCGTGTGGGCTTTAATCTTGACCCGGACGCATTAGCTCTGGTGAAGGAGGCCTATTCCGGGGCAGTGGATTGGATTCTCTGGGCGGCATGCGGATCTGATCCGGAATCCACACTGGCAGCTCTCGGCCAATCAGGAGCGTCCGGGGTATGTGGTGCGGTATGGGGGGCGAGCGACATAGCATATAGGTGCAGGACGTGTGAGCATGATCCTACATGTGCCATATGTGTGCCCTGCTTTCTGGAAGGGGACCATGAGGGGCATGATTATGCCATGATCAAAACGGGCGGTGGATGCTGCGACTGCGGCGATCCAACGGCCTGGAAGCGCCAGGGGTTTTGCAGGAGGCATCCGGGCCCCGGGCACGCCCTGCCCCTGCCGGAAAATTTTGTTGCTCGGGCAGAGCCAGTGCTGGCTGCGGTTGCTGCGGAATGGCAGCAAAAAATAGTTTTTGCTGCCCGGATGGAGGAAGAGCGGAGCGGAGGCACAGGGGGTTGGGGGGGCGCTGGGTTTGGATTTGGCAGCAGGAGAAGCGGAGGAGGGGGAGGAGGAGGGGGAGGGGGAGGAGGCAGAGGAGGAGGGAGAGGAGGAGGGAGAGGAGGGAGCAGTATGAGCTCGCTGCTGGGATCACTAACAGGGGGTGGGGGGCGCGGGGGAGGATGGATGGGGAGCGAGGGGTTCGGAGGAGCGTCATCCTCCTCCTCCCTATCTGCTGCAACGCGCCTGAGAGCAGCCAAGAACGAGGCAGCAGCAGCCACTGAGAAGTTCTCGGACATGTTTCTGAGACTAGCCAGCACCAGTGAAGGGCTGCTGCACCTTGTGTCATCGATTCTCACCCGGAAAGGCAACCCCGTTACAGTCACATCGGGTGGCTTGGACCCCACGAGTCCCCCCTCTATCCCTGCCTCTGCTGCTGTCGGCCTAGGCTCAATCCTGAGCCCAGCCGTTGTGCCTGCCCTCCCTGGGTCGTCACATCCCTCTTCTGCCGCGTCATCTAGCCTCCTGGAAACCCTAGTAGCGAATGAGGTAGGGATCACAGAGGAAGCTATGCAGGCGGCCCACCGCCTGCTCTACAAGCTCTTGGGCGACCCGGGCTTTAAGTACCAGTTCGCGCTCGCGTTCGTCTCCAACTACTCGGCCTTCGTCCTGGGGGGTGCTGCCAGGGAGGAGGAGGAGGAGGGCGGGCGGTGGGGGGGAGGGGGTGCGGGCGGTGGAGGGAGCAGAGCAGGGAGGAGGGGGCGGGGAGGGGCGGGGAGTGCAGGCAGCCGGGTGTCGATTCTGGAGAGCTTTTCGGTGCAGATATTCACGGTGCCGGTGCTGACGCCGAGGCTGGTGGTGGAGGCTCGGCTGCTGGATATCCTCCTGGCAACCCTGCAGAGCACGCTGCAGGGGGCGCTGGGCCGGGACGGGCGGATCAACGTGAGTCAGAATGTTTCTACTTTTGTTGTGGATCCTAGGTGGCATGTTGATGGCGCACCTGTTGATGAGGCACCTGTTGATGGCGCACCTGTTGATGCGACACCTGTTGATGGCGCACCTGTTGATGGCGCACCTGTTGATGAGGCACCTGTTGATGAGGCACCTGTTGATGGCGCACCTGTTGATGAGGCACCTGTTGATGAGGCACCTGTTGATGGGGCACCTGTTGATGGGGCACCTGTTGATGGCGCACCTGTTGATGAGGTACCTGTTGATGAGGCACCTGTTGATGGCGCACCTGTTGATGAGGCACCTGTTGATGAGGCACCTGTTGATGGGGCACCTGTTGATGGGGCACCTGTTGATGGGGCACCTGTTGATGGGGCACCTGTTGATGGGGCACCTGTTGATGAGGCACCTGTTGATGGGGCACCTGTCGATGGGGCACCTGTTGATGAGGCACCTGTTGATGGGGCACCTGTTGATGGGGCACCTGTTGATGAGGCGGGAAACTCACATCGATGCGCTGGGGCGAGACGGGCGGATCAATGTGAGTTTCCCTTCACTTCCCCTCTCGTCCACCATCCTCCCATCCCATCCCTACCTTCCCCCTTGCATCTACCCTCCTCTCTCCCCTTCCCGCCCCCGTCTCCCAGCTGACTCCTGTCAGCCATCCCATGAGGAGGTGCGCAACGGGCTTGTCACCTACGACATTCGCTATGTTCTCTTCCACTCCGCCTCCTCATTTACCCTTCTCTCTTCTCCCCCCCCCCCCCCCCCCCCCCCCCCCCCCCCCGGGTTCTCCCCCTCCCTTTCCATCTTTCCCCAGCCATCTGAAGAGGAGGTCCGCAATGGGCGAGTGACAGACGATATCCGCTACGTCCTCTCTCACTCTGCCTCCTCATGAATCCCTCTCTGATCCTCCCCCTCCCCCCCTTTCCTCCATCCCCGGGGCGGTTGTCCCCTCCCCCTTTTTCCACCTTCCCCCAGCTATCTCAAGAGGAGGTCCGCAATGGAGTCTATTCTAGAGGCGCCTCAAAAAGAGACTCCCCCCCTCCCCGGTTCTCCCCTCCCCCCTGTTCCATCTTCCCCCAGCTGCCTCAAGAGGAGGTCCGCAATGGGCGAGTGACGGACGATATCGCAGGGTGTTTTTGAGAATTCTCAAAAACACCCTCCCCCCTTTTTCCATTTTCCCCCAGCTGTCTCACGAGGAGGTCCGCAATGGCCGAGTGACGGACGATATCCGCTACGTCCTCTCTCACTCCGCCTCCTCCCGCCACGTCACCGCCCGCCGCCCGGACCTGCTGCGCGCGTGGCTGCGCCAGCTGGCGGCCGCCCAGGGCATGTGTCCGCATGTGCGGCGCACGACCACCCATGTGGCAATAGAGCCCGATGATTGGAGCTTCGCCTACCTGTTAGAAGCACAGTTGGCGACTGTCAACCCGTTGCTCGCCGAAGCTAGTGCTGTGCCTGGGCTGGAGGCGTGGAGGGAGGCCCGGCAGGTGGAGGGAGGCTCGGCAGGGGAGAAGGGGGGAGGGGAGGGGGAGGGTGAGAGGGTGGTTGGAGGGGGTGGGTTTCCCGGTTTAGGGTTTGGGAGGAGAAAGGCCTTAAGATGGTTTGTAGATGAGGATGCAGCGCAGCAGGGGCAGCAGGGGGGGCAGCAGGGGCAACAGCAAGGGCAGCAGCAAGTGGGGGTGGAAGTAGGGGGTGGTGGTGGCAATGGTAGTGGTAGTGGTGGAAGTCACAAGGACATGTCAACAGGTGGCGCTGGTGGCTCTGCAGATCTCGATGGTTCTAGCTGGAAGGCAGAGGGTTTTGACCCGGAGGCCTATATGGATGATTGGGGAGACATGGACACAGGCACGCTAGCAGCAGCAACATGGGAGATGCTAGGCATATCTGGGGCAGGTCCTTGTGGCCCCTTACCTGCTCACCTCCCTGCTGCAGCCCCTTACCTGCCGCCCCGAGCCTGCGAGGTTCGGCAGGTGGCGGCCAGGTTCGGCATCCCTCCGGCTCTGGTTCGGCTGCTGCATGAGTGTGCGTGGGTGCTGGCACGGTGGCTGGCTGTGGAAGGGTTGAGATCGCTGGGATCCGCGTTTGGTAGTGGGGCGAGCAGTGTGGAGGCACTCAGGCTTCTCGGCCTTAGCAGGTCGGTTTTTTCTGCATTTCCTGCTGGTGCTGGCATTGCTGGTGCTGCTGCTGCTGGTGATGGTACTGCTGTCCCTGCTGCTGCTGCTGCTGCTGCTGCTGCTGCTGGTACTGCCGGTGGTGGTGGCGGTGCTACAGGGGCTGCTGCTTCAGCAGGAGGGGGGGGTGGAGGGTTAGCAATGAGAGGGATGCGGCAGTTGGGACAGCTAGGCCTGCTACCAGGGGCCTCAGCAGCCAGGGCTCTTCTCACCTCCCCTCCCACCCTCCCCGCCCCACTCCCTCCCCCTCCCCCCCGTCCCCTCTACTAACCCCACTGCCTGCTGCCGCTACCGCTGGGAGACTCTCTGGTGACGGTTCTATTAGGGAAGGTCTATCTAGGGAAGGTGAATTCGGACAAGACGGGCAGGAGCAACAGCAGCAGCAGCAGGAGCAGCAGCAGCAGATGCTGTCCTCAGTGCTGGCGCATGCCCCAGGGCCATCTCTCCTGTCCTTCAAATGGGCCCAGGACGAGCTGATCACCCTTGCTGCAGAGGCTGCAGCAGGGAAGGCAGTTGCAGGGGGCGCAGGAGGACGGGTAGAGGGCGGTAGAAGCAGCACAGTGCGCGGTGCAGGGGAAGCAGGGGCAGCAGGAGGAGGAGGGGGGGATCAGCAGGAGGCAGCGGCGGAGTGGGGAGGGCAGGGAGGTTCTTGTCAGGCATGGCAGCAGCCGCAGGGGCGGCAGCTGCTGCTGTGGGGGGGAGAGCAGCAGGGCTAGGCGGGCCAGGAGGCAGCCCTGGCAGCAGAGCAGCAGCAGGGGTGGGGAGCCCAGGCAATAGAGCAGCAGGGGCAGGCGGCCCAGGCAATAGACCAGCAGGGCACTTCGGTCCGGGTGGCAGAGCAGCAGCAGGGGTGGGGAGCCCAGGGGCGAGCAACCAGCCTCCTCGTGAGGCGACTGAAGTGCCTGAGCTAACACTTGGTCAGTCAGGGGGACCTAGTGGGGCTAGTGAGACACCAGTCCCTGCTGCTTCAGGTGCAAGGCTGGGCGGAGGGGGTGTTGGAGATCGGGAGGCAGGGGAAGGCTTGGCTGGCGGTGGAGGGGGGGTGGGAAGGGGGGGTGAGGCAGGGAGAGGGGAGGTAGGGCATGGTGGGGAGGAGGCAAGAGAGGGGGGAGATGGTGCAAGGCAGGAGGGCGAGGACGCTGCACACACGCAGAGGGGGCACATGGGGATACTGAGTAACTGGCTCAGACGGGCATCGCGGTTTAGAGCGACAGGAGGGGAAGGGACGCACGGCAGACCCACAGGCGCAGCTGAAGCAGCAGGGACAGGGACAGGAGGATCAGGCGCAGACGCAGGGGCAGGGGCAGGGGCAGGGGCAGGGCAGGGTCAGGGGCAGGGGCAGGGGCAGGGTCAGGGGCAGGGGCAGGGGCAGGGCAGGAGGAGGGTCAGGGGCAGGGGCAGACGCAGGGGCAGGAGGAGGGGAAGTGGCGGCGGCACCAACAGCCATGCTGACAGATCCCTCTGTTGCGTCAGAAGCTGATGCCAGGAGCCCTGGAGGGAATACCACCATGGCCCCTGCTACTCACTCACCTGCTATAGACTCCCCTGCTAGCGGCTCACCCGTGAGAGGCTCAGCGTCAGCTGGACCCTCCTCCCCTCGCCCCCCTCGCTCACCAGCTTATGCTGGCCCCCCATCTTCCGCTCCCCCCCCTCCCTCCGCTGCCCTTCCTCCTTCTGCTGCTGCCTCTGGCGCGCTCACCCCATTGAACAGCCCCTGCTGGTGGGTGGGGCGGCAACAGCTGTCGCTTCTGGAGGGGCTGCTGCCGTTCCCTCCCCCCCGGCTGGAACAAGGGGATGTGCAAGCAGGTGTGCAAGGAGGCATGCAAGGGCATGGGGCTTTATCTGGGGACGGTCCAGCGGGTGGGGATGTGGGTGGATGGAATCAGCCAGGGAAGGACTGGTCAGGTGTGGAATGGCCAGTAGTTGACTATGATGTGGCGAGGCAGGAGGTGTCGTTCCACCTGCCGCTGCACCGCATGCTGGCGCTGATGCTGCACTCGCTGCTACGCCTGCGCTTCCCCGTGGCTGAGTCGCAGGAGGACACGGAACAGAGTGTAGAAAAGGGCACACTGCAGGGCACACAGGACACACAGCTCGCGCAGAAAGGGCCAGCAGGAGAGGCACAAAGTGCGGCGCAGAAAGGGCCGCGAAGGGAGGGGGGAGAGCGGGGGTCACCAGAGGTGTGCTTGCTGCATCTGCTGCCCAGCGAGCTGCAGAGGGGGAGTTTCCTCGCAGCTGTGGCTGAGCATGGGCTCCGACTGCAAGTGCTGTGTGCTCAGGTGCGTGCTGCCGAGTAGTTGTCGTCTACTTTCGTGCTGAGGCCATCTCATGTTGTACAATCGCCCACGGCCATGTTTTCTCTCCCATCTCTCGTTTCCCCCTGCCATCTCCTCCTGTCCTCCCTCCCTCCCGCCCATCTCCCCCCCCCCCCAGATATCAGCGGGCATGTGGCGGCGGAATGGCCAGTCCATGGTTGCTCTCTGCGACCTCTACCACTCTGTGCACTGGTGAGTGGCAGCATGCGCGGCCCCCCTCTTCTCCCGTGCTTCCCGCCGGTCTTCTCTTTCTTCCCCATTCCTACCCACCAGGTGTGTGTGAGGACACCCGTAAGCTGTCAGTTTTTGAGGCGCCTCAAAAATAGACTCCCGCCGGTCTTCTCTTTCTTCCCCATTCGCACCTACCAGGTGTGTGTGAGGACACCCTTAAGCTGTCAGACATCTCAAAACTCCCTCGAATCTTCTCCCTCGGCTCTTCACCCTCCACCGTGCTCCTTCCCCATTCCCACCTACCAGGTGCGAGGACACCCTCGACCTCGACCTCTTTCTCCTGCAGTGCGCAGCTGTCTCTGCCCCTCCTGACCCCTATGTGCTCCCTTCGCTCTTTCCTCTACCTCTCCTCGGTTCCCTCACTCCCCATGCCTTATCCTGTGATAATCTTGTTTTGAGGCGCCTCAAAACTCCACCTCCCCTCAGTTCCCTCACTCCCCATGCCTTATCCTGTGATAATCTTATCCCACCAGGTGTGAGGACACCCCAGAGTTAGACCTCTTTCTCCTGCTGTGTATTTTGAGTCGACTCAAAATACGCCTTTCTCCCCCCCACGCCCTGTGCCATCACCATATCCCACTACCAGGTGTGAGGACACCCTGGAGTTGGACCTCTTTCTCCTGCAGTGCACTGCTGTCTCTGCTCCGCCTGACGCCTTTGTGCGCCAGGTTGTAGCGCGCTACAGCCTCACAAGCTACTTCTCTCTCACCCTTGGCTCTGCCTCAGAGTGAGTGATAGGGTTGCTTTCATGTGTGCGCCACTGAAGATGTGGAGTCTCAGGTCGTCGGGTTGTAGCGCGCTACAGCCTCACAAGCTACTTCTCTCTCGCCATCGGGACTACCTAAGTGTGAGTGGTAGGGTTTCTGGCACACGCGCGCCTCTGAGTGTGTGGAGTCTCAGCTCGTCGGGTTGTAGCGCGCTACATCCTCACAAGCTACTTCTCCCTCACCATTGGATTGGCCTCTGAAAATATTGCTGGAAGTCCCTCCTGCTTCTGCTTCTGCTTCTGCTTCTGCTTCTGCTTCTGTTGCTTCTGCTGCTGCTTCTGCTGCTGCTTCTGCTTCTTCTCCTTCTGCTCCTCCTTCTCCTTCTGCTTCTGCGTCTGCTTCTGTTGCTTCTGCTTCTGCGTCTGCTTCTGTTGCTTCTGCTTCTGCTTCTGCTGCTGCTTCTGCCGCGCTGCCTTTTGGCGGCAATATGGTACGGTGATCAGACATGGCTGTCCTATCCTCTCCTTGTCCTCCCCCATGCGAGTCTGCCTTTGAGTCGACTCAAAAGCAGACTCCTTGTCCTCCCCCGTGCGATCCACCTCCCCTTCCGTTCTCCTCTCTTCTTCCCTCTCTCCTCAAGCGAGCTGACTTTTGAGTCGACTCACAAGTCACTCCGTGCTATCCACCTCCCCTTCCCTTGTCCTCTCTCCTCCCCCCCCCCGGCTCACTCCAGGTACGAGCCAGCAGTGGCGCAGGACTGCCTGGCGTTTCTCATCGGCCTCATCTCAGAGCGATCCTTCTCCGGCCTTTTTTTAGGTGCCTCAAGAATCGCTCCTTCTCTGGCCTCCCTTCTTGCTGCCCCCGCTCCTCTTTCGCTCACTCTTCTCTCTTCTCCCCCCTCCCCCCCCCTCCCCCTCCCTCACACCAGGTACGAGCCAGCAGTGGCGCAGGACTGCCTGGCGTTCCTCATCCGCCTCATCTCAGAGCGCTCCTTCTCTGGCCTTCCCCCCACCGTGGCCCTGCGGAGAGAAATAGTGCAGCGCCTAGCCATCGGGAACGCCACCCGCAGCAGCGTCGTCAAATCCCTGCCGCCCCGCTTCGCCGAAAACCCGGCCATTCCCTCTGTTCTGGCTTCAGTGGCGGATTACTCCCGGCCTTCTGGTATGGAGCAGGGGCGGTACTTACTTAAAAGAGACTGTTACCGGGAGCTGGATCTGTATTGCTTAAGGTGGGCGCCCAGGGAGTTGCAGAGAGCAGAGGAGCGGTACTTAGAGGCGGTTAAGAGGTCAGCTGTTGTGGAGCAGACGCCCAGGTGGCGCGATCCTGTCCGCCCGTTGCTGGGGCTGAGGGAGATTGCCACGTCAGCAGGGGTGCATGACGTGGTGCTGTCGGTGGTGCTGCATGCGTGGTGGGACGAGGAGGGGAGGGAGAGGAGCGGGGGGGAAACCAGAGGCGGCGGCAGTGGCAGTGGTGGCAGTGGCGGCGGGAGTGGTAGTGAGAGTGGGGGGAATGGGCTGTCTAGAGCGCCAGATAATGTTCTTCATGCTGCCCTGCATCTACTGGCGTTGGCTCTGGACACTTTTGTGGCGTGGCAGGAAGCGGTGGAGAAGGTAAAGGAGGAACAGAAGGGGCAGGAAGGCCGGGGGGTAGGAGCGGAGGAAGGGAAGCAGGAGGAGGGTGGGAGAGTGGGTGGGAGAGTGGGTGGGAGAGAGGGTGAAGAAGGAGGTGAGGGGGAGGGGATGATGGATGTGGATAGGGGTATGAGGGGCAGATGGGGTGAAGGCACAGAGGGGTCTGCTCTTGAGTCGAGTCAAAGGCAAACAGAGCGTTCTGCTATGGAAGTGGAAGGGGCAGATGCGCATGGTGATTCACCTGTTAATACACATGGTGATATTGGGCCACCAGCCGTGCAGAAACGACAATCGTGGCCACCGGTGCTGCTATCCCGAGCGTGCCAACCATTTGAAGCACACTCAAGTGGCATCAACAGCAGCACTGCTGCCACCTCAGGCCTATTCTCCCTCCTGCCAGCATCCGCGTTCTCCTCCTCTCCCCAGACCCCCCATATTCTCCCAGTGTCCCTGCTCTTTCTCCTGGTGCGCCTGCTGAAGGTGTGGCAAAGGCAGGCGGGAGTAGCAGGAGCAGCAGGAGCAGCAGGAGCAGGGATAGGCTCCAGAGATGGGCATTGTGGTCTTCTTGGTGCTGCTGGTGGTGGTGGTGGTGTAGGGGTGGGACCAGGGCTCGAAGCTGAGCCTAGAGCAAGGGGAGCCGACGAGGGATGGGGCTTAGGGGTTGGGGAGATATCAGGGGGAGCAGGAGGAGCGGGAGGAGGAGGAGGAGCAGGAAGGGGAGGTGGAGGTGAGGGGCGGTCGGAGCTGCACGTTCTGGTGCTGCGGCTGCTTAAGCAATTCTCTCAGCTAAGCGACGAGTGCAGGAGGGCTCTGGAGCAGCTCTGCCCGGAGGAATTCGATAAGGGGAAGGGGAAGGCAGTGGTGGGGGGGGCGGGGAAGGGGCTGGGGAAGCAGGCACAGGAGGGGTAGCAGGAACAGCAGGAACAGCAGGAACAGCAGGAACAGTAGGTGCTGGCGGCATTGCTGCAGAGGCAGGTGGCTGGAGCAGAGAGAGGGGGGTTGGGGAGGGGGCAACGGGAGTTGGTGGTGGTGGAGGGGGAGAAGAAAGGAGAGGAGGAGGAGAAGCGGGGGGAGGAGGAGGTGAGGGGAAGGGGGAGGGAGGAGCTTGGAGTGAAGCTGATGCAAGGAAGGTGTTTGCTCGAGCGAGGCAGCAAGCTCTGCTGGTACGTGGTTGAGTGGAATGGCGTGAACCTACCTAGTTAGCCTAGTGACATAGTCTGGGTGCAGATATTTTGGATCTGGGCAGTGGGCAGTGGCTTTGCCCTGAACCCTTTACCCGAATCTTAAACCCAAAACCCTGGTTAGCACAGTCTGGGTACAGTTCTTTTTCAGCTATTTTTTGCGGGGTCCTTCCTCTCTATCCACCTCCCTGAACCGAACCCCGAGTCCCTAAAACCCCTCTGCTTTTGATATTTTCACTGATTTCCGTCCTCCCCCCTCCACAAACAGGCCAAGATGCGGGCGGCAAAGCAGAGATTTGCAGCTAGCGTCAAACAAGTCCTCTCTTTCTGCTCTCAACTCCCAAAACATTAGCGCTGAAACCCCTCCCGGCCAATTCCGTCTCCCCCCACCCGCTCCACAAACAGGCCAAGATGCGGGCGGCACAGCAGAGATTCGCAGCAAGAGACAAACAGGGCGTTCCTCGTATCATCTCGTGTCCTCCCCTCCGAATCTCCCCTTTCCCCTCTCCCTCTACCCCTTCCCCCCTCCACAAACAGGCCAAAATGCGGGCAGCACAGCAGAGATTCGCAGCAAGCGTCAAACAGGACCCGGGAAAGGGGGCAGGCAAGAATGAGGACGAAGAGGAGGATGAGGAAGAGGAGGAAAGGGAGAAGGGACGGATGGGGAGAGGGGGGGTCTTTTCTGGGAGGGATGTGGAGATGGGAGGGGTGGAGGAGGAGGGAGGGGAGAGGAAGTCAGGCAAGAGGCGGAAGGGGAAGGCAGTGGTCGTTGAGGAGGAGGAGAGGGAGTGCGTGTTGTGCAGGGAGGGAGACAAGGGCGGAACGTCTTCCCCACTGTGTCACATCGTTTTCTGCCAGGTGCTGTGCTCCGTCCGTGCCTTCTGTCTCCGTAGCTGCCTTCTTTCTCTGTGCCCCTTGGTCAAGTAGTTTAGTTCTGAGACGTCTCAGAACTAACCTACCTAACCAGGTGCTGTGCTCCGTCCGTGCCTTCTCTCTGTAATTGCCTTCTTTCTTTGTGCCCCTTGTTGCTCGCGTTTCTGTTTCCTCCAGTGGATATCCTGGCTTCGTTGGGAAGACCTAGTCATGTGCACCTGTCGTCTCCCCTTCATCCACTTCGGTTCTTGATGCTACTGTCTCACCTCCTCTCTCTCCTCCCCTCCCCCATTTCCCTCTTTCCCTCCCATTCCCTCCCATTCCCTCCCTCAAGCGGTCCATTTATTAATAGGCAAGCAAATTTAATCCAGAATCCCCCATTCCGTCCCATTCCCTCTCTCTCTCTGAATCTTCCCAGAAGTCTCGCCTCGTCGGCCTCTCCAGCCGACTCACTCCCACCTGGCAAGGGGGCGCCCGTCCCTCTGCCGCTACTGCTCTTGCTGCCTCCCCTGGCGCTACTGCTGCTGCTGGCGGTGCTGGTGCTGCAGCACCCACAGGGGCAGCAGCAAGAGCAGCAGGTGCAACTGGGGCAGGTGCAACTGGGGCAGGCGGAACGGCAGGTGCTGCTGGTGGGTGGCTGGCTGGTCTAGGACTCGGGGAAGGGGCAGGGACGAGGGGAGGGGGAGGGGCAACTGGTGGAGGTGCTGCTGGGGAAGGTGGGACTGGAGGGCGGCAGCAGGGTTTGGGGCAAGCAGTTATCTTGCTGGGGGGAGCACGGGAAGGTGCAGGTGCAGGGGCAGGGGCAGGGGCAGGAGCGGGTATAGGCGCAGGTGAAGGGACAGTAAGGACAGGAGCGACAGTCCCAGAAACAGGCACAGCACCAGCAACAGCAACAGGAACGATAGCAACAGCAGGCACAGCAACAGCAGGCACAGCAACAGCAGCAGGAAGAGGAGCAGGAACAACAACGACTACAACAGGGACTTGGGTGCAAGCCACCGAGTTCCTAGACTGGATCAGAGCCACTCTCAGGGAAGGGGGAGGGGGGCCTGTGACTGTACAGGGGGCGCGGGGCGAGTGGCAGGTGGACGGCGAGGATCTGATGGATATCCTGCAGCAGGAGCTACCGGGGGAGGTGCGATTCACCACCACTATAGTCACAGGGGACGGGTGGGCTGGGGGAGGGGTGGGAGGAGGGGTGGGAGGGGGTGTTGGAGGGGGGGTTGGTGCGCTTGGGACGGGTCTGGGGGCGGGTGGGGTGGTGGAGAGAGGGGGAGGAGGGGGGAATGGAGTAGGAGGAGAGGAGAGAAGAGGTGAGGGGGAGACGGTGGAAGGGGAGATAGAGGGTGGGGGGAGGGAGGAGGGGGGAGCTGGGGTAGGAGGTAGAGAGGAGGGGGCTAGAGGTGAGGGGGCAGCAGGAGAGGGAGCAGATGGTGGTGCGGGTGGGAATGATGGTGCTGCTTCAACCGCTTCTGATTATAACGAGGATGGCAATGGAAGTGGCAGTGCTGAGGAGGAGGAGGAGGAGGAGGAGGGGGGGGAGGAGGGGGAGGAGGAGGGGGATGAAGATGAGATGATGGATGGACAGGGGTTGCTGCTTCTGGGAGAGAACGAGCTGGGAGACGCAGGGGAAGAGATGTTGTCAGATACTGATGGTGATAGCGCCGCGGAGGATGATGACGATGATCATGATGATGATGATGGTGGTGGTGGTGGTGGAGATGGGGATGGGGATGGGGATGGTGATGAGATGATGCTAGATGCTGCTAGTCTAGGGGTGGGAGAGGAGGAGCGGGAGGAGCGGGAGGTGTGGGCGGATGGGGAAGAGGACCCAATGGGGGAGGGGGAGGAGGGGGCGAGGGAAGGGGACACTCCCATGGGGATGGAAGTTGAAGGTGCTTTCGCCACTACTGCTACTGCTAATTCCGCTGCTACTGCTGCTACTGCTGCTGCTACTACTGCTGCTACTGTGGGAAATGATGCTGCTGTTGCTGCTACTGCTACTGCTGCTGCTGCTGCTGCTGCTGCTGCTGCTGCTGCTGCTGCTGCTGCTGCTGCTTCTCCTGCTGCGACAGGAGCTATGGCTGCTGGTTTAGCTGCGGATCAAACAGCAGCAGAAGAAGAAGCAGGAGCAGGAGCTGGAGCACGATCAGGATTAGCAGCAGAATTAGCAGCAGCAGAAGCAGAATTAGCAGAAGCAGAAGCAGAATTAGCAGCAGCAGAAGCAGAAGCAGGAGCAGGAGCAGGAGCAGGGGCAGGAGCAGGATTAGCAGCAGAAATAGCAGCAGCAGAAGCAGAAGCAGAAGCAGCAGAAGCAGACTTAGCAGCAGCACAAGCAGAATTAGCAGCAGCAGCAGCAGAATTAGCAGCATCAGCGGCAGGGGCAGAATCAGCAGCAGCAGAAGCAGAAGCAGCAACAGCAGCAGAAGCAGAAGCAGAAGCAGCAGCAGCAGCAGCAGCAGCAGCAGCAGCAGTGGAGCGGGCGGGTGCAGGAGGCGTGGACGCTCAAGGCGTGGGTAGAATGGGAGCATTAGGAGCAATTCATGCAACAAGGCAGGCAGGAATGGAGGTTGCTACAGGCGGTGGTACAGGCACTGCTACAGTCCTAGGCGCAGGAGCAGCAGGGGCAGCAGGGGCAGCAGGGGCAGCAGGGGCAGCAGGGGCAGCAGGGGCAGCAGGGGCAGCAGGGGCAGCAGGGCCCACTGCAACAGGAAGGGTGCGAGGGGGAGATGGGGGAGATGGGGGAGAAGGGGGGACACGAGCAGGCGAGGGGGGAGCCGCCAGGGGGAGGCTGGACACAGTGCAGGCAGTAGCAGGGGAGGTTTTTCGAGGCTTCTGGATGAACATTCCCCCCATCAGGCGCACTGCCAGGCTGAGGAGGAGGGGCATCTCGGGGAGGGCGGAACTGTTTGGGCAGGGCGGGGGGAGGGGGAGAGGGGGGGAGGAGAGGGAGGATGGGATGGTAGGGGGAGGGATGGCGAGTGGGGTGTGTGTGAAGGGGTGTGGCCACGTGATTCACCACTCGTGCATGGACCAGTACTTTTCAAGTCTGTACCAGCGGTGAGTGGGTATCAGTTAGGAGTGCTTACCAACAGTACATGCTCGTAAGAGGCCACTTTGAGTTGACTCAAAGGCACCTTGCCGGGAAGGGGTATGGCCATGTGATTCGCCACTGACACTTGTGCATGGACCAGTACTTCTCAAGTCTCTACCAGCGGTGAGTGGTGTATCAAGTGGGGTTGTTCGACAAGGGTGCTTGTCTATATTTGGCGTGAGGTGACGTTTGAGCCACCTGAAAGGGCATCTGGCTGGCAGGGGAGTGGGCTCGTGATTCACCACTCCTGCATGGAGCAGTGCTTCTCAAGTCTCTCCCAACGAAGATCAGTGGTGTGTCGAGTGCGGCTGTGATGTCTTTTGAGGCGCCTCAAAAGAATTTTGAGGCGCCTCAACGAAGATCAGTGGTGTGTCGAGTGCGGCTGTGATGTCTTTTGAGGCGCCTCAAAAGAATTTTGAGGCGCCTCAACGAAGATCAGTGGTGTGTCGAGTGCGGCTGTGATGTCTTTTGAGGCGCCTCAAAAGAATTTTGAGGCGCCTCAACGAAGATCAGTGGTGTGTCGAGTGCGGCTGTGATGTCTTTTGAGGCGCCTCAAAAGAATTTTGAGGCGCCTCAACGAAGATCAGTGGTGTGTCGAGTGCGGCTGTGATGTCTTTTGAGGCGCCTCAAAAGAATTTTGAGGCGCCTCAACGAAGATCAGTGGTGTGTCGAGTGCGGCTGTGATGTCTTTTGAGGCGCCTCAAAAGAATTTTGAGGCGCCTCAACGAAGATCAGTGGTGTGTCGAGTGCGGCTGTGATGTCTTTTGAGGCGCCTCAAAAGAATTTTGAGGCGCCTCAACGAAGATCAGTGGTGTGTCGAGTGCGGCTGTGATGTGGGAATGTTCACAAACGGTGCATGACTCATGTCCCTTAGATAGAATGTCTACATGCAGTGTGAGGTTTGAGCCGTCTTAAAGGACATCTGGCTGGCAGGGGTGTGGGCATGTGATTCCGACATCTGACTGGTGTGAAGCTTGAGCCATTCTCACGGACATCAGAAAGGGCTGTGGGCATGGAGAATTAGGTACGGAAGTCTCATTCTTAGGGATCTTGGGTCTACATTCTCAGGGACATCAGAAAGGGCTGTGGGTGTGGGTGTGGGTGTGGGTGTGGGTGTGGGTGTGGGGGTGGGTGTGGGTGTGGGTGTGGGTGTGGGTGTGAGTGTGGGTGTGGGTGTGGGCTCGTGATTGCCCTCATTCCTGCCCGTCTGATTAGTAAAACTGCCCCTTGTCTCCTTCCTCTTTTTCCTCTACCCTCCCCGCAACCCCTGCCAGGTACCTCAGCGGTTCGTTCTATGAGGGCTCGTCGGTGGTGGACCCTGAAGCGGTGAGTGTTCCTCCTTCCGTGGTCATCGCCTTGAGTTGAAACGTCTCAAAGCTTGATGCTGAGTTTCGTGGTTCGTTCTGTGAGGGCTCGTCAGTGGTGGACCCTGAAGCGGTGAGTGTTCCTCCTTCCGTGGTCATCGCCTTGAGTTGAGACGTCTCAAAGCTCATGATACTGAGTTTTGTGGTTCGTTCTGTGAGGGCTCGTCTGTGGTGGATCCTGAAGCGGTGAGTGTTGTGCATTGATAGTGAAGCCACGTGCATTAATGGCGAAGCCATATGCACGCTCAACCCCCGTGTGCTAAATATCTATTACATATCTATTACATATCTATTACACATATCTATTACATGTACACTCAGAAATCTATCAGGTGATATTCAATCCGGTCCTGAATAAGAAAACACCACTTGGTGGTGGTTTCAGCCATATGTGGCAGCAGGCTTGTAGAACACTGAGAAAAAATCTTGCTCAGAATCTACCAGGTGACATTCAATTCAACCCAGTCCTGAATATTCGTCTGCCCGAGTGTGCATTCAGCTGCACATCCGTGTGTTATGAGTCTATTTTTGAGTCGACTAAAAAATAGACTCACTACACACACTGAATGTGCATTGAGTTGCATATTCAATCCACTCCCATTCTTCCGCATTGGTCTGCCCTTGTCCCTGTTCCTCACCGCCTCTCTCCTCCCACTGTTTCACTCCCCTCCCTGGCCTCCCCCCTCCCACACCGTGCCCAGGGCGAGTTCCTGCGTACTGTCAGTCGCCTGCTGTCTCAACTATTCCCCTCCCCTCCCCTCCCCCTCTCCCCCTCTCCCGTCCCCTCTTCCCCTCTCCCCCTCTCCCCTCCCTGGTCCCACACCACCCCCCAGGGCGAGTTCCTCTGTCCTGTGTGTCGCCGTCGCGCCAACGCCACCCTCCTGTATCCCCACCCCCCCGGATCCGGCTCATTTTCTCTCCCCTCCTGTTCGCTCCCCTCCCCTCCCTCTCTCTCTCCCACACCACCCTCCAGGGCGAGTTCCTCTGTCCTGTGTGTCGCCGTCTCGCCAACGCCACACTCCCTCTCCTCCCATCGCGCTCCCCTCCTCTACCCGCCCCTCTGCTCCCTGCCGCTCCACCCTCCATCCCTCTTGCCGCTGCTGGCGAGGCAGAACGAAGTGCTCTAGAAGGAGAGCAGGTTGCAGCAGCAGCAGAGGGGAGAACAAGGGACGCAGAGACGGCAGCAGGGCCAGCTGCAGCTGCAGCAGCAGCAGCAGCACCTGCAGCAGCAGCAGCAGCACCTGCAGCAGCAGCAGCAGCACCTGCAGCAGCAGCAGCAGCAGCAGCAGCAGCAGCAGGCGAGGTCGGAGGTCACCTGTCTGAAGGCGCGGCAAGCGGTCTGTCTGGTGTGCTGTGGAGAATAAGAGAGGTGCAGAGCACCGTGAGAGAGCGCAACCTGCGAGCCTGCATCGTCGCCGAACCTGCCACCAGGTCTGGGGAAGGCAGGCGTGGCACCGGAGCTGCTGTACCCGCGCATCGATACGCTGGAAACAGCTCGAGCAGCATTGAGGCCATGATTGGGGGTGGGGCTTCTTTTCCTAGCGTAGCACGTAACATGGTAACCACCCCTCAAGACATGGTAACCAGACAGCCTCCAAGAATGCAGGAGGCGATTGAAGCCACAGCCATGCGCATCTGCCAGGTAGCGCGCTCCGATTCGTCCAGATTCCGCCACGTGGCGCTTGGCCGCGAGCTCCAGGGCTTGCTGATATGGCAGAGCCTGGAGTACACTGTTGCCTGCGCTGAGCTAGCAGGACGAGGGGCGCCACCTGGCTGTCCAGCTGGCAGGGTTGACACGTCAGCACAGTTCTGGGGGCTGGGGGAGACGGCAGCGGCTAGAATGAGGACAGGTGGCACGATGTGGTTGGCTAGTGCTGAGGCGAGGGTAGCAGCATTGGCTGCTTGTGCGGAGGAGGAAGGGTGGAGGGGGGAGTGGATGGAGGGAAGACAAGCGGAAAGAGGAGAGGGAGGGGAGAGGGGAGGAGCAAACATGGGAGATCAAGAGCCAGGTGGTTCAAGGAGTGGGTTTCAAGTGGGGAGTGAAAGTGGCATGGAGCTAGAGGATGCAAGCAGCGCTGGCCAAGGGAGGGGTGAGGAAGGAGGGGAGAGAATGGCAGGAGAGACAGGCAGCGAGAGGGGGAGAGGGGGTGAGGGGAGGAGTAGTGCAAGGATGGAGGAAGGGAGGAATGGTGAGAGGATTGAGGAGGAGAGGAGGAGGCAGGAGTGGTGGAGGAGGGTGCAGGAGAGGGTGCAGGGCGAGGGGAGGAGGGCGGATGGCATGGTGGGGGCGCTGGCACGGCTGGCTGTGGCACAGGCGTCTCACAGCACGCATGCTGTCATGCTCAGGACACGTGGCATGCTGCTACTGGTGGACAGCTTGGTCCATGGGAGGCCGGCTGACTCTGAACCCGCCCAAGGCGCAACCATCCGTCCCTCTGCTTCCGCCCAGGGTCACCAAGACCATCCCCACCCCTCCCACCATCCCCACCCCTCCTCCTTTAACTCCACCTCCTCCTCTCCTCCCTCCTCTCTCCCCTCCTCCCTCTCCTCCCTCTCCGCCTCTCCCTCCCCCTCCTCTCCCCCTGAGGAGAACGCCTTTCTCCTCCTCCTCTCCTCCCCTACTTTCCTCCGCGACCCCTTCCTGTCTCTCTCGCGCCTCCTCTACTGCTTCCTGCCCCTCCCTCTGTCACCTCCAGCAGACAGCAGAGACGCACCTTCAGCTGACAGCAGAGGCACACCCTCAGCAGACAGCAGAGACGCACCTTCAGCTGACAGCAGAGACACACCTTCAGCTGACAGCAGAGACGCACCTTCAGCTGACAGCAGGGGCACACCCTCAACAGACAGCAGAGGCACACCCTCAACAGACAGCAGAGGCACACCCTCAGCCGAGACACACAGACACACAGGGGACATTTCAGGTCTGTTAGTCGACACTATGGTGCTCGCATACACGGCAGCTGTGGCCCAGGCCTTGCTGCTTCTTGCCCCTGCTGCCATCCGTCTTGGTTTGCTCCCCTCCCTCTCTCCCACCAGCCAGCTCTCCGCGGTCACTACCCCGCCTGCCCTGCCACCGTTCCTCTCCTCCCTGCTCATCTCCATGCTGCACGCACTAGGTGCTGCTGCTCATGCTGCTCCCCCGCCTGCTCCCCCGACATCACCAACACCCACTGCTGCTGCCACAGGTGCCGCTCATACAGCCCTTGCAGCAGATGCCGACGCAGCAGCATCGCTACTGCCAGCCACGGCACCACCACCACCAGCAATAGAAGCAGGAACGCCTTCTCACCCACCCTCCTCGTCGCAAATTCCCTCCTCTCTCGCCTCCCCCGCCTCCCCTCTCCTGCCCGACCTGCTTCTCCAGCAGACCTCGTTCCTGGACGCCGTCCGCCGCCTCTCCCTGCCGTTCCTACGCCGCTCCGCCCTGCTCCTGCACCTGCTCTCGCGCAACGTGCTGCCGCTGCTGCTCATGCCCTCCTCCCACCCGAATCTCTTCCCCTCGCCCTCTCCCTCTTCCTCTGAACCAGCACCGACACCAGCACCGACACCAGCACCGACACCAGCACCGACACCAGCACCGACACCAGCACCGAAACCAGCACCGACACCAGCCCCATCACCAGCCCAAGCACTAAAACTGACACCCTTTGGCATTTCTTCCTCTCCCCATCCACCCCCCCTTCCCATCCCATCCACCTCCACCACCCCTCCCCTCTCCTCAACTCCTCCCAACCAACCAGGACCTTCCACATCGTCCCCTGCCCCACCACCACCACCACCACAACCATCACCATCACCATCACCATCACCATCATCAGCAGCAGCGGCATCCACCTCTGCCCTGCGCCCCTGGGCGCTAGACACCGGGGCCTTGGCACAGCAGGAGCTGGCGGAAGCAGCAGTGTGGGAGAGGGAGTTCCAGCTGCCCGCGCTCTCTGCCCTTCTATCCGACCCTGCTGCCGTGCACCTGTTGCTCTCCTGGTGCCGCCATGCTGTTTCTGCTGCAGGGCCAGCTTCTTCTTCTGCTGCTGCTGCTGCTGCTGCTGCTGCTGCTGCTGCTGGAGTGGCACGGATATCTGCTGCAGCAGCACCAGCTTCAGCAGCAGCAGGGGGAGGAGCAGAAGGGGCAGTGGGACAAGAAGCAGCAGCAGCAGCAACAACAGCAGCAGCAGTGGTTGCTACCCTCTCCCCTCTGTCGCTATACCAGCCATCCCTCGCCTTCCCCTTCCGCCTGGTCTCCCTCCCCCACCGCTACCTCGACTTCTTCCAACGGTGGGTGCCTCCTCACTCATCCCTCCCCTGCCGTGTCCCTCCTTATCCCCTCCCTCTTCCATGCTCAAGCCCTTTCTCTTCCTAACTCACTGCTTTCATCCTCCTCTCTCCTCTCCCCCCTCCCCCCTGCTAACTCTTTCCTCTCCCATCTTTTCCTCCAGCTACGTGAACGAGCCGTGTGAATCGTGCCAGCTGGTGCCGGAGCAGCGTACCGTCGTCAACCCCCCTCCCACCCCCTTCTCTCTCTCTCTCTCTCTCTCTCTCTCTCTCTCTCTCTCTCTCTCTCTCTCTCTCTCTCTCTCTCTCTCTCTCTCTCTCTCTCTCTCTCTCTCTCTCCCTTCGTTTCATCTCAGCTACGTGAACGAGCTGTGTGAATTGTGCCAGCTGGTGCCGGAGCAGCGTACCGTCGTCAACCCCCCTCCCACTCCTCTCTCTCTCTCTCTCACTCTCTCCCTTCGTTTCACCTCAGCTACGTGAACGAGCCGTGTGAATCGTGCCAGCTGGTGCCAGAGCAGCCGGCCTTCTGCCTCCTCTGCGCCGCTCTGCTCTGTGGCTCCACCAGGTGGGCTTTCCCCACCCCACCCCACCCCATCACACCCTACCCCACCCAACCGGATGGTACCGCACCCACCACGCTCGGCTTCCACCATCCTATCCCACTCCATGGCTTTCCCCCTTTCTCGTCCTGGTCGTGTGCTCTCCCGGTCCATAGCATCCTGCCTTTGACCGTCATGCGCTCGAATCTGCCTCGTTGCGCTCTAGTCACCCTCGCCTTTTCGCCCCCATCCACTCCTTCCTCCATTCTCTCCCCCGTTCCTCCTCTGGTTTTCCAACCATCAGTCTCCACCCTCTTGTCTCTTTTTGTCCCTTTCGGTGCTTCTTCCTCCAGCCGTGTGCACGAGTCCAGGAGCGGCAGCGGCAAGAGGGGCTGCTGTGGGGGGAGCTATGCTCATGCCAAGGAGTGTGGGGCTGGCCTTGGGGTCTTCCTGCTCGTACGGGTAGGTGTGAGCATGGAAAACTGCGTTTTTCTCTTTGTTCGTGTAAGCAATTTGGTCCGACTACTCCTAAACTGGCTTTCCTGGCACCCCCTTTTGATCCATTCGTTCTACCCTCTCGCCTCCGGCACTCGTCAAGCTCCCCTATGCTTTCCTTTTCCTTTCCTCCCCTATGCGAGTGCAGCGCACCTCTGTAATGCTACTACGCCGAATGCGCTATGCTGCGTGGCCGTCACCTTACCTTGATGCCTATGGTGAAGAGGTGAGTGTGAGTGTGGGTTTGCCCTCGTCCTGTTATCAATTTCGCCCTCTTTGTGATTACAAATAATCTCATGTTTCATGTATCTTACTCTGGACTGCAGGATGAGAATCTTCGGCGGGGAAAGCCATTATATCTCAGCAATGACCGTTTCCATGCTCTTCAAGCTATGGTGAACTGTTCCTTTCAATGGCTCGGCATGTTGCTATCCTTGTGTCCAACATATCTGGCTTATTGACAAGGTTTCATTTCCTGGTTTTTGCAGGTGGCATGTAATGGGGTGGATCACAATTCCCTCGTTCTCTCTCATTCGACGAGAGTGCCCTTTTAGATTAAAAACAAGGTTCGACGTTTCGCGTCGGAAGGGTTGCGTACCCGGAAAAACAAATTCACGTGGAAAATATATACGCCATATGGTCCCAAATCTACATACATTTTCATTGAGGTATATATTTGTCTTTGTATGCTTGGTTATTCTAGTATGATTTTTTTACGAAAGCTTGATTTTACATGATGATAAAATCATAATTCATTTATTTTCCACATTTCGACTCAATTATAGCACACGTATTATTCAAGTCTAAGCTTAAATTGGGAGTGTATCAAACAGTGAAATTGATGAATAGAGAGAGAGAGTACACAAACATATACCTAACAGTTGTACTCTCTAGAAGATGACCCTATACAGTCTATACAAGCATGATAACTAAACATGTTTGACACACCCCCTGGACTGCATAGGGGAATGTTCTAGACAAGCAGCTCAGGGTGGCACTACTAGTCCAGCCTCTGAGACAAGGGTCTAAAAGACCAGTCAGAAGGAGTACAGGCAAGGCAAGAACTAGTACAGGGCGGCACTACTAGTCCAACCACTGTAAGAGGACACAAGTCCAGTCTGAGTGTACACACAGATATATATAGGGCAGTACAAAGTCAAGGCCCGAGTAAGTGAGAGACTACAGGAACCAGACCAAGCTGTACACAGTGCCGCTGATGATCTTTAGGCGCAAGCGCCTTCGTAAAGATATCAGCTGTGTTGGCACCGGAGGCTAAGTGTACTACGCGAGCCTGGCGACGCTGCTGTAGCTCACGCAGGAGGAAGTACCGCAGCTGGATGTGCTTCGCTCTGCCCTCGAGTCGAGGCTCCTGACACAGGAGGATCCTGGCCCTGTTGTCAGCGTACAGGACCGGGGCAGAGCTAGGCCGCTCACCTAAGTCAGTGAGCAAGAAGGTCAGCCAGCGGAGCTCCTGTGCCGCCATGGCACCGGCGTAGATCTCAGCCTCACAGCTGGACTGGGCAACAGACGAGGAGCGGGTAGCTCTCCACGAGACAGCACCTGAGCCAAGGCTAAAGCAGTAGCCCTGGGAAGACCTGAGCGTCTCGGTGTCGTCTGCCCAAGAAGCGTCTGTGTGTCCAGTAAGGACCACTGGCCTGCGTCCGCCTAGCACTAACCCCATGCCCGATGTACTTGCAAGATAACGCAAAACCCTCTTAGCGGCAGACCAGTGCTGAGGTCGGTGTCTGCCTGTGGCCACGAAACGAGCCAGGATGCTGAGAGGGTATGCGAGATCTGGGCGAGTGCAAGTCATCAGGTACATGAGGCAACCCACTAGCTCAGCGTAAGGACCACTGGGATCTACCGACTCCTCAGGAACTGGAGCGGAGAGTCTGTGGTCCAGAGGAAGAGGGGTGGGCTGTGCGGAGGAGAACTGAAGGCCAAACCTCTGAAGGACCTGGCGCACCAAGTGTGACTGAGTCAGGGTGATGGTGCGCGCGGCTCTGTCCCTGGAGATCTGCAAGCCAAGGTAACGGCGCAGCTCTCCAAGGTCAGTGCAGGTGTGTCTCTTCAGCAGCTCTGCCTTCACGGAGGCCAGTGCGTCCCTGTCAGCAGTGGCAAAGACCAGGTCGTCTACGTAGACGAGGATGTAGAACGGAGTCGAGCCAGCACGAACGAAGAGCGAGGGGTCTGCAGAGGACGGAAAGAACTGCAGGTCAGCAAGGGTAGCACGCAAAGTGTCGTGCCACTCACGAGGCGCCTGGCGCAGGCCGTAGACTGGCCGCCGCAGAAGCCACTGGGTCCCAGGGGGGAAGGTGCCAGTAAAGCCCTGAGGGCGACGCAGGTAGACCTGCTCGTGAAGGCTGCCCTGAAGAAAGGCAGTGGAGAAGTCGAGGGAGTGAAGCTCGTAGTCACGCTGAGCCGCTACGTGTAGCAGCACCCGAAGAGTAGTCATCTTCGGGGTAGGAGCGAAAGTCTGAAAGAAGTCCACCCCCTCGCGCTGACTGAAGCCTCTAGCCACGTAGCGCGCCTTGAACACAGGCGGCTCTCCAGGAGGGCGCTTCACCTTGAAGAGCCAACGGCCATCGACCACGTTCACCCCAGGTGGGGGAACTGCGTCGACGAAGGTGCCGGTGGATCTCCAAGATGCCATCTCCTGCTCCATGGCAGCTATCCACTGAGAGGCCCAGGGTCCCGAAACCGCCTCAGCGTAAGTACGAGGGGTCGGGATGTCGAAAGCGTCTGGGTCACCCTCAGGGACTAGCAGCATGGAACAGAGATGGGGAGCAGCCTCGGACAGGAAAGCAAGCTCAAACTGGCGGTCCTCCAGGACGTCACTGCCGAGGGCAGGAGCACCCCCGACAGACGGAGGACAGGCAGGGTGAGAGACCAGAGCGGTGGCGTAGTCAAGGCGGCGGGTAGAGGCGAAGTCAGCGACCGCAGCGACGAGGGCGTCAAGACTCGACACGGGAACAGACGGGTCGGTAACGAGAGAGGCAAGGACCCGAGGAACAAGAGGACGAGCGGCACGAAAGGAGTCGGACAGAGGAGGAGACGCAACGACAAGGGAAGACGGAGGAGGAGACGGGAGGAGGGGAGGTCGAGACGCGTGGGAACGGAGCAACATAGGGTGAGAGCGCGGGACAGGGGAGACAGGACGAGCACGAGAGGGGCGGCGAGACCAGACGTGTGAGGGCGGCGTCGGGTCAGGAGACAGAGGAGGGGACACAGGAGGGGAACGAGGGGGAAGACGAGCCGGGGACGAGTCTGGCAGAGGGAACACGGGGCCGTAGACGGGAAGAGGGGGAGACGGCAGGAGAGGAACAGGCGCAGGGTCAGGAGACGGAAGGCCGAGCAGACGGAGGGCGGACACAGGCGGGGACTGCTGCTGCGGCGACACAACACCAACACCAGGGCCACAAGCTGCGCGACGGCTACCTCCCGAACCCTCCACACCTGCACCCCCAGAAGGGACACCCCCAGAGTCCACAAACGGCGGCAGCGACGACAGCGGCGGCGGCGGCGGCGGCTGCAGCGACGGCTGCGACGGCGGCGGCGGCGGAGACGACGGCTGCAACGGCGGCGGCGGTGGAGACGACGGCTGCAGCAGCTGCGGCGACGGCGGCTGCGGAGGCGGTGGAGGAGGAGACACCGGGGGAGGGACAGACGGCGAGGACTGCGCCGGAGGACTACCAGAGTCAGAAGACTCGTCGACCGGGACGACCGACGGGAGGGGGGTGACGTGAGACACACCAGAGGGGGCCGGACGGGGGGCGGGGGGGGGGGAGGGGCAGGGACCACCAGGGAGGGAGGAACCAGGAAAAGGGGGGGAGTAACCGGGGGACCACGGTGGGGAAAGCGGCGGTAGAAGGAGACGGACTCGTCAAAGGTGACGTCGCGAGAGTGAAAGAAGCGGTGAGACGGCGGGTGGTAGAAGTGCCAGTCGGACGCGTCAAGGGGGAAACCGAGGAAGACGCAGGGGAGGGTGCGGGCAGTGAGCTTGTCCGTGCCAGAGGCACGAACGTGAGCAAGGCAGCCCCAGACGCGGAACGCAGACGCGTCACCAGGGGACCCGGTCCACAGAAGGGTCGGCGAAACCTGCGGCCGCTGGGGGTGCGGCCACAGGTTAAGCTGGTGAGCGGCGTAGCGCACGGCGAACGGCCACAGAAAATGGGGTGCACCGGCGTGGATCATGGAGGTGCGAGCCACCTCCATGACCAAACCGATGCGTCGCTCAGCGACCCCATTCTGCTGCGGGGAGTCCGGCAGGGTAAACGTCTGGGTGATGCCCTCCGCACGACAGAAGCGACCAAGGACACCTGAGGCAAACTCGCCACCCCGGTCGGAGTGAAGGCGCAAGGCAGGGAGACCGCGGTGGACACGAGCAGAGACAAGCCAGGGGATGAGAACGTCAGGCACGTCGGCCTTCCGCTCCAGGGGGAAGACGGTGGTGTAGCGCGTGAAGTCGTCGACAAGCACTAGGAAGAAGCGCTCGCGACGCGGCCCATGGACCAGGGCTGGGCCCCAGACGTCCATGTGCAGAGTCTGCAGTGGTGCGGTGGTAGGGGGAAAAGAGGAGGAGTGAGGGGCACGGCGGAGCCGGCCCTCGACACAAGGCGTGCACGGTGGGGCGGGGGAGGAGGGAAACTCGGGGAACGAACCGGGGAGACCAAGGACGAGACCGTGCTGGGACATGTGACGCAGACGCGGGAGCGCAGGGTGACCTAGGCGGTGGTGCCAAAGGAGAGTCGGGTGAGTGAGGGACCGACAGGAGCAGGCAGCAGCAACCTGGGTAGACGCAGCCACCTGAGGGAGCGCTCCAGCCGGGGGGGTCACGGTGTCCAGAGTGAACAGGCCGGACACTGGGTCCCGGGGGAACGTGGACAGGGGGGCACCAGTGGCGGCCTCGGTACAGACAGCATACCGCTCGTGACCAGGGAACGTAGTGGTGACGCCAAGGTCCTGGAGGCAGCCGACACCAACTAGGTTCCTGGAGAACGAGGGGATATGCAGACCTGTGAGAGTGCCCGAAGGAACCGCCGGACAGGGAAGGGAGGTGGAACTGCGGGCAACGACGGGACCACCGGAGGGGTCAGCAAGAGTAACTGCAGCGGGAACAGGCAGCGGCGTCAGCGTCGTGGAGTCGCGGAAGAAACACCGGGAGGCGCCAGAGTCCAAGGTGAAGGAAAGCGCAGCAGTCGCGCGAGGCAGCAGTGAAGCGGTGGAAGCACCAAGGCTAAGCAAAGCAGGAGATCCTACGCCTGACGCAGCAGGGGAGTCTACGCTAGGCACCGCTACACTAGGCAACACGGGGTAATAAGAGGGAAGCACACTAGAGTCATCAGCATACATCACATGCAAGGCCGCTACAATGGCATCCATGTCCAAGTCAGAAATCCTAATGCTACGCCTAAGCAAGCTGTGCCAGTCCGGGAGGTCGGGCGCCGGGCCAAAGCGCTGGCGGAACAGGTCGTCCAGGCGACGAAAACAGCGAGGAGTAGAATGACCGATCTTACCGCAAACGAAGCCGCGGCGAGGACCGGTCTGGATCTGGTACTGACAGGGCCCGCCTCCAGAACCACCACCCGGTGCACCACCACGCGCACGACCACCACCAGCTCCAGGCCACCCAGGTGGGAGAGTACTCGCCTGCCTCGTCTGCGGCGGCTGCTGCGGCTGCTGCGAAGGCTGCGGCTGCGGCGACTGCTGCTGCTGC